GAAGAATGTTAAGCAAATTGAACCCCTGCCATGAAGGAAATGTTTTAGGTGCCATAAACTTAGTAAATACACTCACCGTCATTCCCTCCAATTGCCATGAGATACCGTTGACCCACCAATGCCATCACATGGCCATATCGTGGCCCAGGACCAGGGCCTTGAACAACAACTCTACAATAGATGAGTAACAATTTCAATGGCAAATTCACATAGTAGAGAAAACTAATGAGCAACCACCCAGTAGAAAGTCCAACCTATGCCATCGTGGACGCTGTTGTGTGAGGTCAAGAACGTGAAGATCTTCAGCAGATAAACCAGCCGGACCAATTCCACCCTGAGTAGTATACAAGACTTTAGTTATGCATGACATACAAGGCTATCAAAATTATACTACGTCCTCATGTTTTGCAGCAGGATAATATTTAATATACTGACCTGAATGACAACCATAGTTCCCACAGCAGTTGCCACATGAGCAGCCCTGGGTGTAGGTGGTTCTCCGATAGGTGCAATCCTGAGAATAAGCTTATATTAAGCATAAGAATGTGGCAGTAGGCAAAAGGATCCTTCTGAGCATAATAAAACAATCACGGCAACGACAATGATTACCTCGACCATTTATTTGACAGAACATCATAACAATGAATATCAGCAGTGGCCCCCGACAATCCTGAAATCAAGGAAAACAAACCAGTGAAAACTTTGTCACTCAAAGACCTCAGAGGCCATAATCAACAATAGCCAGGGGGGAAAACAAGCTTGTTGGCACATTCTGAAGCAGGGATAACACTAAAATGTGATATGCATAAAACTAACAACTTAGCTAAACAACCCTATAACTATTCAGTAGCTCAACATCAATGGATTCAAACCACGCTAAGTCTTAGTTAGATAAACGTGAGCTGAGCTCAAAGTATGGACAATGAATAGACAGTTAAAAACAAGTTCCCTATCGCGGTCAAGTGAGGAAGCATGTGAATGAAAATAAAATACTTCTTAAAAAACTGCTATGAAAAGAGTCCTGAAAGCCAGACCCAGTAATGAAGGAATCAAAAAAGAAAACATCACCAAAATCAATGGCCAGGCAAATCCACTTTCTAGCTTGCAAAATATGGCTAAGTTGATCGGAATGTTTTTGTCACAACTATACACGTAACCTCCTCTGCAGATGCTAGAATCACTATGGTAACTACACATGCAACCTTCCTATAGTATTAGACAATAATAAACCCATCCTCCAATTATCGCCTCCCAACCAAATCAAAACTTTTGCGTTGACAACTTAATTTCCTATGCAAAGGCAGAGACAGATGAATTAACCGTAGGCCAGTGCACAATATTCCGTTCCCTAACACTACTCTACCTAATTCTGAATTTTCACAGCCTAAACCAGGGTTCTGCCTCATGTTTCTAAGAAGCCATGAAGAAGTCAACTGCAGAGATTGCCACCGGGGTGGACGGAACATGCAATGAAAACCGAAATGGAAAAACTCAACACAATCTCAATACATACGGATGCCAGCACCCCCAGCAGAGGAAGGAGTTCCCGTGGTTGCTGAATTTCCCTCTAGCCCCGTCGCACCACCAAACAAAATCAACCGCGGACCAACGTAGCCAGGCGTCCCCTCTTCCCCAACGGCGGCGACGGCGGTCAAGGTGTGACCACACCTAGGCCCCGGGCCGTCTTCCTTCTTCTCTATAATAGCATTCACCACCGAGTATGTCGGTGCCGGCCTCGGGCCCACCACCGGGCTCTGCTGCTGCTGCTGCACCTGAACCTGCGCCGGTGCCAGCACCGCCGGCGATGGAGAAGACGACGTCGCCGCTGCGGTCGGAGATCCCACGGCCTGCGGGCTCTCCCTATCTATCACCGGTGGAGGAAGAGAAGCGCTTTGCAGCGCCGGCGGATCCTGATCGGGCTCCGACGACATCGACGAATCCACATCCATCGCGTTTCAAATCCCTAATTCGATCCCTAACTTCAAGATCGGAGCTGGAATTACGCCGAATCAGTATCATTAATCAACATTTCTTCCACGGGGAGGAAACGATTATCCGCCCAAACGCACCACCCCGCCCAGGAACGAAACGAGAAACCCTAGTTTGGATCAGTGAACTGTGGAGAATCCCGGAACATGGAAACAAAGCCGAAGCTCGTTCGCTTTTTTTCCCCGGGAAAGGAAAAGCCGAATTTTTTTCGAAAAGGGAGACGAAATACGAGAGAGAATTGAGATTAGGTTTTAGTGTTCGATCGAAGAAGAAGGGAGGAGGGAAGAAGACAACGACGGGAAAACGGGACGGACTCAAATCTCCAAATGGAAAATAATAATACTTAGTAAAAAGGAAATTACGAAAATCCAGAAGAAGAAAAAAAGCCTTTAACTTCCTCTCTCTGCCAATCATCTGGACTTTCTCTCTCTATAAACTTTACTATGTGCCATTTTGGTCCTCCTCTCTCTTTCTCTCTCTACCATGCCTTTTTTCGTCAGTAAATTAAATTTCAATTTATTTTAATGAAAATGTTGATGATGCGCTGGCTTTCTTTTTTTTTTTTTCCTTTGTCCACCGGTATCGAAATGCGTACGTCGGCGGAACGCCCTCCGGCCGTGGACAATAAAATGAGCGTCACAAATGGTCACCGGAATCTCCGCGAAGGGGTTTTAATGTTTTATATGTTTTATAGTTTTCTTCCTTTGGGTAAACTGCCACTTAGGTCATTCAGTTATGGTATGGTGTTGATTTCAGTCCCAAATTTAACTGTTTTTTTTTCTTCCCTCTTTGATACCACCAACTTAAGCATATTAGGAACACTTCAAGTTCTGATCTTGTTCTTGAGAGTGAATGGCTCCTCTGTTAAAATTCATCAAGGTTAAAACGTGTGAGACTAAATTCATCTTTTTTCAATCGTTTAAACTAGTTTTGCTTCCTTCAATTTAAACTTCCTTTCATTCTGCTAAACATCGATGTTAATTGTGTGATTCATTTTTTTGCATTTCAACGTAATAATCTCTCTTTCTACAAAATATTTTGATATGGTGCATCAATAACAATCATATGAATCTTTTACTTAAGTACCTATTTTCAGTTATTTAAAGGGATATGACATTTCATTTTTATTGCATGTATATTTTATTTTATGATAAGTAATGAATAAGTATTTGCACTTGCTTTGAATGAATTGGATTGACATTTTGAGTTCATCTAGGCAATAATGTGTAATATAATCTAACCAAATGTGCTTCTACCGTAGTCGCTATCTTCATGTCTTCCATCTTTTAGGATACTTCTCTAGGTTGCTCGTGTTTTGTTTCCACTCTGGCTTAACAAAAGTTATACTTCCTTGCATTTCATAAATCAAATATATATATATATATTTTTTGAAATGGGAAAAAACCATACGACCTCATAAATTATAATATTAGTACATTGAGGGGGTTGAAACTCAAATCATGTCACACATAATGAACATCCATATTTGATCTTAAGTGGAATGAATTGGAACATAAAAATCTATATGAGGCCAAGCAATCCATCAAGAAACTACTTTTTTCTACTTAGATGCGAGATGTGAACGGTCCAATAACACGAGGCGAGACTATGAAACTTCAAAATAAGGGTGACATGTTGATGAGTATGTTTGATGTTAACTATAATAGAAGTGATATCACAATTGTCGAATCGAACCACCATCCCAACTGAAGACCCTCAACAACCTTCCTAAATCTCCACACGAAAAACAGAACAAACAACTCAGCACATTGATGTTGTAGGCTCCAAACAAGTGACCTTGTCAATATCTAACCATGTCTCCAATATCTCCCTACCCGGTCAATGCTACAAATCGATGTCAGTCTCCACCCATATCCTTCAAGCTATTGAAGCACCAAGTTGAGCACTTTCCTTCCTTTTCTTTTGGAATTTGTTCTGCCTTTTCTCTTCCTCCAGTATCCCTTTTATGATTCCGGGGGGCTGCCACCGGTCACCTAAACCTGTTTTTTCTTTCTTTTCATGCTTTTTATCTCTCTTGCCTGTGTTCTGGGCAGTTTTCAATCGGAGTTCCAGTCGTTGTGGCCTTCGGTTTTATCCTTTCCAGTCGAGCTATGACTCTTCTTTCAAATCTTGGTTCTCTATTCTCGGGCTTGCTCGTTGTAAGAGTCGGAGTATGCAATTTGGGCGATTTTTCCATATCTATATGGTGGGGTTGTTCCACATTGGTGGCCTCATCTTCAAGGTGAAGCCATTCTCTGCTTTCCCCCTCTGACCTCCCTAGGTCTTTGTGTGGCTTGGTGAGCCATCGGATTGTGGTGGGTAGGGTCTTCCACGGTGGTTGCGGTTGGGAATCGGTATTTTTCATGGAGATTTATGGTTACCTTGGGAGTTTCTGCCATGCTTCGAACCTGTTCTCTCTACCTCATCAGCTTGGAGCAATCCGGTTTATATCCTTCTCCACCGCCATGCAATCTAGTTTCTGGATTCACTATGATGGATGCCTTTGAGTTATCCCCAGGAGGCGGGCACATGGCTTGATGATGATCACTTGCCATGGATTTCGATACGATTGGACACGCTGATCTTGATTGTGTTGCACTATGATTGGTTGTTTGCAAGAGAGATTCCTGATGATCTGATTTCGGTCAAGGGTTTTGCTCTTTTTGGATGGTTTCTTGCAGACTGTGTTTTGTTCTTTGGTGCTGCATTTGGTTTGACATGGTTTGATTGTAACCGAATGCCCTAAAACTTCCTCTTGTTGGAATCAGATTGGTGGTTCTTTGTCCCTCTTTGTAACTGACCAGTTAAAGTACAATAAATCTTCCCTTGGTAGAAGAAAAAAAAAAGTTGAGCACCTTCCTTTGTGAGAGAAGAGATGGTGTGTAATCTCCAAGACAAAGACACATGGGAGCAAGTGATATTCCAGCTAGCTAAACGACTTTGCGGCTCCCTTTCCCTCCTAAATGTATTCTCCCCCCAGTCACATTATCATGTTTCCATCCTCTACCTTTTCCCTATCCAAAAGAGGCCCAAATTCATACCTTTCAATAGAATAATCTCCTTGAAAAATGTCATTTTCTTCTCAGCAAAAAAATCGTTCGTCTTTTCAAGGTAAGACCCATTCTCCGTTAGCTCTCATCGCCGTTACCCAGGCTGCAGGGAATCATCAGTAAATCAGACGGCAACACAAACTAAAAACAAACAGAAACCGTTGAGATGTCAACTGGAGAATGTTTTGGGTGCTTGTCCTATATTGTTTTGTAGGTTGATATGTTCCCCGTCCTGAATACAAACACGGACAAGGCCGGCAATACATACATCACAAAACTAATATTACGCCGTCTTCGCCGGACCTGTATTGAGAGGCTTCTGGTAGACTCTCACCACCGGCATCCCATCCACGTCGTCGGTCTTCGTCCGCCACGACCGATCCTTCTTCCTCTGAGGCTTCTTGTGCTGCTTGAACGATTCCTTCAACTTCTTCTTCTCCGCGCCTTTCCTCGACGCGATCCCATTCTCTACGTCGAAGGAGTTCAAATCATCTAGGGCGTGCTCCATTGCAGGTGGCGGATGCTTCCCTACTCCTTCCTCGACGTCCGATGAGTCCGACTCAGCCAACTCAGACCCACTGTCATCATCATCAGCATCTGAATCGCCATCCTCGTCAGCAGACATTCCAGGCGGCATCTCAAAATGGGGCAGCTTCCCGTCTATATAATCCTTCAGAATCTGACGTGCAGCCTTGGTCTCATCAGGCAGTCCACTGGAAGCAACGTACCCTCTGGATGCACAGTAAGCTCGGAGAAGTTCGGATGCCAATGGGGGTCGAGACTGAGACTCGTACGACTTTGGTTTCGGCAGGGTTATCCGGTAGACATCCTCGATGACATGTCGTGGGACACGGTTCGCAACCACCTGGACGGCCTCCCTGTGCTCGGTCATCCGGTCGATTGGCAGCACTCCTGAGGAGATCATTTCGTATTTGGAGCTTGAGAAGGAAGGGAACACTAGACCAGGGCAGTCGCACAGGGTGAGCTCCTCCGACATTATCAGCGTCTGGAAATGTTTAGTTTTCCCAGGGGTCGATGTTACGCCGGTTCGCTTCTGTCCGACTAGGGCATTGATCGTTGAACTCTTGCCGACATTGGGGTACCCAACGAATCCCACAGTAACAGTTTTAGCGGGGGAGTTGTTTCTATTCCTCCTCAAAACTATGGCTTCTGCCTCGGACTGCAGACGAGATAGAAGCTCTTCCCTGCCATATATTTTGGTATCGGCATCATCAGGCTGTTCTCGACCAGTGGGTCCGGTCAGCTTTTTACCCTCGAGAAGTGCAGTTGCGGCCTTGGCTGACCAGAATAGGAAAAGGATATCGTGTTGCCGGAAGTACTCAGCCCATTTCTTTCTGCAGTGGGGAACGAGAGTCGAAGTTGGTGAGAGGTGGGAGATGGAAAAATGTAATTAAGAGAAAACATGTTTTGAAAGTAGCTGACCTGACAGAGAATGGCAAAAGATCGGCTTTGTTTACAAGGAGCAGTGTGCTCTTATGCTCATCGATTTCTCGTGCATATTCCTGTATGAACATGAGAATCTTTTAGTTTCCTTCATATACCATCTAACAACTTTAGCCTCTTCGACTATCTGGGAGAATCCTACTTCACTTCTTAGACAACAGAATTTGATAAGAAAGACAATCCATACCTCGAGATCAGGACAACGATAGAACAAAGGGTCTCGTGCATCAACAACCATCACAAGCTGCAAAGAATATAATTATTATGCAATCAAAACTTCAGTTGAAACTTTCATATCGTCATCAAAAGACTGAATCAGGAGCAGTCCAAAACATAGCAGTTCACAAGGCTTTGCAATTTCGAAGATATCGCTCAGAAGCAAACTGGAAAGAACCGAAGAGCACGGCGAACCACCAAAAGAATCCACGGAAACAGAAATTTCAGGATACAAATTACTGTAATACAGATGTCTAAGACACAGGAATTTGTTTGAAACTCTGTTTACCATGATAGCCCCATTTGTTATTTTTAATGTCTTGGACCTGATGCATAACTTCAGATTAGTCTGATCATTTGACTAACTTCATGAGAATGGCTCATAGGATTCGCAGCAACAGGGGTTTGTGTTTCACCTTCAGAGCGATAGGAGTTCATCTATTATCTGATTCTAGTTTCATGGTATAGCTGTGAACCTCTGTGCTCCTCGGCTAGTTGAAACCAATTTATCTTTCACGGATATAGGAGAATTGAAACAGAAAGACACAGATAACATATAATACAACTAGCCGGCAAGAAAAAAACTATATGAACCAAAACAGATAGCTACTATCTGATTCTAGTTTCATGATTTAGCTGTGAATCTCTGTGCTCCTCAGCTAGTTGAAACCACTTTATCTTTCACAGATATAGGAGAATTGAAACAGAAAGACACAAATAACATATAAGAGAGACAGCCCAACAAAATAAATGAAATTTGCTATTCATTTCATCTTCAAAAGTGGATATGAACCAAAACAGATAGCTTACAAGATCACTGCGCTCAAGCACCCGCCAAAGTTGTCTCCAGATATCCAGATTCTTTTCAAATGGCGTGAGAACAAGGTTCTCATTCTCCTCTAGGCTGAAACCATCCCATGCAAACTGTAAGAACTTAATGGAACTCCCCTATCTAAAATCTTACAAACGCCCAAAATTCAGGCACAGAAACTTTTTCAGACATTCAGACTATTAATATTTCAGATGCATTCTATTTACAGTTCAACAATCGATGATAAACCCTGGTATTGGATATCACAGACAAGACAGCCTGAGTTTAGCAGTCCTAAGAGAATACACCAGCACCATAAAACTGACGACATCCAAAAGTTCTCCCATAAATTTATCAGGAGACTGTGACATCCATGTCAAAACTTATCACATATGTTTATAGGCAGGGTGGACAAATAGTCATTTGTATAGTTGCCAAACTCGAAACTCAATACCAGGTCACCTCCAAACCTTAGACCATCATACTACATGACTAAGGACGCCGAAATCCTTAGCAAAGCAGCCCACACTGATGTTCAAGCTATACATGCATCATATTAAGCAACAAGATTCAGATTGAAGTTCAATTACATATGAACAGGAAACAGCTGCAAGCATTTGACTAACAGGAAATCCTAGCTCGGGACATCCACAAACTTGCTTCCCCGTTTCTTATTCAAGTTCACATATACTGGTTAGCAAACTGAAACAATCACTTCACCGCAATTGCCAAATTCCAAAATGAAGATTTAATGGAGAATTGAACAAACCTTGCAAGGCTTCGTCGCCAGATTAGGAAAGCTTGTCTTTCATTAGTATCAAGTACCTCCACCGACATCTCAGGGTTCCAAGCTGGCCTATTGGAGTTAGCAGCACACCATAATCAAACCACAAGCAAACCAATATTATCATAACAAACCCAAACAAGGAGGGTTGGCTCCAGTTGTTCATACCTGCGAGGAACTCGTAAGCTATTAGCATGCAAAGACTCCGCTTCCTTCTGCTGCGCCCTTCTCTCCTCCGGCGTCATAGCACTCGAACTCGACGGCCCATCCCTATCCAAAACATACCAGAAACCCTGATTGATTATTCCTCGCACGAAAAGCAAAACTTAAAAAAGGAGCTGCGGGAAGCTAGAGTTTCGGTTTGAGAGAACTCACAGACTGATGGGGCGATTGGGGGCGGGACGTTCGCCGGCGAGGAGAAGACGCTCTTCCTCTTCCGCCTGCCCGATGACGGCGTCGACGTCGTTCACGTCGGTGATGGATTCGAGAACCTTGTTCTGCTGCCTGTAGAATCGACCTTTCTCCTTGGATTGAATGATCATCTGGTTGTGGTGCTTCACCAGCGCTCTCCCCAACCCGGTCTTGCCGTCGTTCTTCCCCATTTTCTCCGGTAGGGATTTGCACAGGCGAGCGAGAGCGTATCTCTTCTGTGTAAATAGGCGGTGTTTCGTGTACAAGTTTGAAACGGCGGTTGAGCGTAGGAAAAGGGTTTTGGACTAGTCGGAAGAAAATTATGCGTCGGCCACCCGTTTTGGGTGGAGCACCACCAGCGGCCACGCCAGAAAGTATCTAGTCTCTGTAGTTTTTGAATTTTCGGATAAGTCCCTAGATCTTTTTTTTAGTGAAAGTAGGTCCATAGATCTCGACAAAAGCAGTAGATTGGAATGTGAAGCCCAATTAAACTGGGCCGAGCCCATGTAGAACCCAAACCAGAAGCCCAATAAAACGAAAAATTATAAAATGAAACAAACCCGAAATTCGGATAACAAACTTGGGAACCAGGCGAAAACCAGGGCTTTTGCAAGTTCTGCTATCCGCCATTGTTATTGCCTGCCTTCTTCCTTCACCCACACATTGCGTATAGTTTCTGTTTTCCTCTTGTAGTCTCCCAATCGAACATTCCTTCCTTCGCTCGATTTGAAAAGCCGAGAGAATATAACGTCAATGTGCTCCTCGCTCATCGCCAGCTGATGTTCCGTCTTCCGTGAAACCCTTCTGCGATTTCTGGCAGTATGGGAGCTCAGAAGAGCATCCATGCAGGGAAAGGTCAGTATTCACATCTCCTCTCACGTAAACTTACCACTGCTGTCCACGAATTCACATTAAGCAATGAAATCTTGATGCCCTTGTCCTGAAAATGGATGTTCGATTGCGAATTGTTTTCTTATGGGGTTACAGCTAATTGCTAAGTATGTGGATTTCTTTTGTTGTGTCCGATGGCAGCCAAGATTGATGTGAATGTTGATTTAACTCACAAGCTATGTACCTCTTTGATGCTCCTCCCTCCTATTCCTATCAGGTCCTTTTACCGTCTTCGTTTCCTTTCCCACACCCTTTAGACAAGAGTTTGAACTTAAAGACCGAACTCTCTGCTTCTTATCTGTTTTGTAGGGACGGTGGGAGTCCTCTGTCACTGGTTATTGGAAGGTGGGTGTGTCTCAAATTCTCTTTTTCACAATCTCATTTCTGGTGTTGCCAGTTGAATTGTCAATTGAAGGAGATGGCTTTTGTACCTACTAAGTGCCGTATAGTTTTGCTTGGTTAAGCCAAAAAAAGACAATGACAGATTATACAAACCATGGATTATTGATTGACCATAATTGGGTTTTGTTTTGCAGTCTTTGCATCAAGCACCCTAATTTATTTGGGGGAAGTGAGAAGCTGGATGTGTCATGGGACAAAGGACTTTATGATTCAACCGTTTTAGTGGCTTATAGGAGGCCAAGACCAGAATGGCTTCCTCAACAATGTTTTGTCCTTCAGGTAAGTGGATAGGTTTGGAAATCTAGTAGCTGAAGTTGTGTATGGTTATTCAATCTGCCTATCCGAACTAGATTAAGTCTAATTGTCAGCTTGAAGTGCTAACTGCAGAGTTTATAACTTTTCCTAAATTCAAATCATCTTAGCTCTCTTATTTTTCCTATAACCTCCTGTCAGCATTCTGTTTCGCCTGAAATCGGGGTACATGGTACACCAGTTGACAATTTTTCTCGATCTGGGAGTGGAGGTGTGAATCTGTCCCGATTATCACTCGGTGTTGATCTTAATGAGCCGGCGAGTTCTAACTGGACTAGCACAACTAGTATTAAATTTGAGGTCAGTTATGAGATAACTGCAGTGCGTTGATATTCCATTGTTGGAGCTTGTGTATCCTACTCACGCACTTTTTATTGTCTGATTGGGGGGGAAATTTTATTCTCATGAGAATCGCAGCATGTCAACATACTAAGTGATGATGGCCGCTCTATTACTAGGGATATGGAGGGGTTTCCAGTGACTTGTAGGTAGGTAGCTGAATCTTCTATTTATCTGCATTTCACCTGGAATATCTGATGCTAACCAATGAGTTTCTACTGAATACATTTGTTGCAGTGGCAGTACACATGACAGCATGGTAGTTCTTAAGCAAGAGTCTCGATATGCAAAGGCAACTAATGACAGTTTTTCTCGTGTAAAGAACTATACTGCTTGCTATTGGTCTACCACTTCTTTCTCTCTTAGAATTCTTCATTTGTGTTTATTGTAATAATTGTTCATTCTATGCAGTTCAGTATGCAAATAGAACAAGGGATTCCTGTTCTGTCCAAGTGGCTAATTTTCAATAAGTTCAAGTTTGTTGCAACAAAAGGTCTCAAACTTGGACCGGCATTTCTCGTTGCAAGGTGAGGCATAATTTAGTTTGTTTTCATTTCCATTTGTTGCTACCTGGCGAAACAACCATACGTATTGATAACTAGACGTTCTTGATTCCGAGTCTCGTGAAGCGGAAATACACACACAAAAAAACTGAAATTTAGTGTTACTGCTTATATTGATATTTCCTTTGATGGCAAACACTATGTGGCACTTCAAAGAATTCAGGCTCAATCACAATGAAAAGGTTAAATGCATAGGAAATTCAATATGGACCCTCTTTTATGTTCTTGAATTTCTACCAAGTGATTGATGCTAGCATAGCCAAGCTAAGGAAATGACGTTGGATTCAGATCTGCAGTTGTTCCTTATTGTGTCTTGAACAGTAGATTTAAAATGTTTTTCTTTTACTCTCATTTTGTTCTTGTACTATTCTAACCGTTTTCATCTGACAGCCTGACAGGTGGTTCCATCGTAGGGGACATGGCTCCTTATCAAGCATTTGCAGTAGGCGGCCTTGGTAGTGTGCGAGGGTATGGTGAGGGTGCTGTTGGATCAGGAAGATCATGTCTGGTTGCTAATAGTGAATTGACATTGCCCTTGGTATGTCGCCTATATAACTTTCCACTTCCTCAGATTGACTGTTTAGAAGGTTTCTAGACTCTACGTCGAAAGGGATTTTATATTCGGAATGTTACATATTTCTGATTCCTGGATTCAGCTTACTTTCTCAGGATAGGAAACTGAGAAGGCTTCGTTTTAGATTGCTTAAGTGTCATGATCTGCTCATGTCGGAACAGCTGTGGGCTTGCAATATACTTAATCAATTGCTTTGATCTTTCCTCCCTGAAATTTATGCTACTTCAACAGGAAGAAATAAAGCAGCAGTTTAATTTTTGCTGTTTGTGGCATGGTATTAAGAATTCAGGGAGACTGTCTTTCGTATGTCCATAATTAATTGAAAAAAGAAAATTGCAGCGTTGGTAGGCTCTATCAGTTCATTATTTTAAAACACCCAAAATAGTGGAACGTACAAGAAAATCAAGGACATAGAAATGTATACCTGTTTTTCCTTCTTTATGGTTAGGACAATGAACAAATATACGCTTGGAACGCATAGCAGTCCTTTTGTTAGTTTGTAGATCATAATGTTATAGCACTGATGAAAGTATGTGTCTTTTATGTGCCATCTTGAAGATTCAGCCTTTTCAAGCCTCTGTAGACGAGAAATGAACCCTGGAGTTAATCATATATCAGTTATTGCATAGTTAGATGTTGACATAACCTTCCCTGTTCTATCATGATGTTTCTCGTCTCGATAAGTTCCCACTCTGTTTCTGATGATCTGTTTTCTACCTGAGCATTATTGATATCTTGTTGAAGACCACTGAAAAATGTAGAACGAACATTCTGTGTTTGCATATGATCATCCTTGTTTCTTGTTCATTTGACGTAAACTGTAAAAGTACAATTCGTTCTGCAAATTACAAGCTTAATTTTTTTTTAACTTCAAACTATCCATGTTGCTGCTAACGCTGCATTTTTTACTGGGCTTCAGACCGAGACTTTGAATGGTGCTCTATTCTTGGACTGTGGATCCGATTTGGGATCTGGCCGCCTTGTACCTGGTGAGTTCCAACTCCAAACCATTTTCTTTGCTTGCCAAATGTCTCAACATGAAACCTTTTGACCTATCTGCTGTTTCTCACTGTTACATGCTGTTTTTTCTTTTTATCTGGGCATATTCAGGAAACCCAGCACTGAGGCAAGGGAAACCCGGGTCTGGGACGGGGTTCGGTTATGGTCTTCGGTACAAGTCTCCTATCGGGCACTTGCAGATTGACTATGCTATGAACTCATTTAAGCAGAAAACTGTCTTCTTTGGCATCAGCAACCTTGGTTTATGAATGTTCTTTGTTTCGCCAAGAAAAGGTTTGCTGCTTCACCTCTTTTCAACCATAAGAACAACTGCAGGTTGCAGTAGCAACGTCGTAAGAAGAGCAGAGTCCAGTCTTCGTTTGACACCAGCATTGTCTTTAATTATTGTTTCATTTTTAGGGGCTTGCTGGTTTCGAGTATATACAATTGAGTTAGGCATTCACTAGTGAACTCTCATTTACTTGTAGTTGTTTCCCAGGCACTATTTTGACAAGACATTTAGATCCTTATTGGGAAAGAACTGTTATTATCATTACAAACCACTTTTATCAGTTCCAATAAGGACTGATGCCAAATTTAGCCCTCGAAACTTCAATACAGCTGTGCGGGAGCCAGGAGCCCCTAAACTTTGTGTTTTTACGCAGGACGAGCCCTTGAACCTAGGCCCTAGCAACTTCTCCAAGCTTTACCATTCATGTCAAAGTCGATAGAATTGGTCTTTACGGTCAAACTCTATATAGATGGGAACATATTGTAAAGCTTAGGAATAAGAGGTACAAGTTTGTCGCATTAGTAAAGTTGGTGGCCTTAAGGTCAAACTCTATATAGATGGGATAGTGGGGAAAAAAGGTTGCTGCCGTTTTGGTTTGCAGGCGAAAAGGATTCCATTTTCTTCTTCTTGTTCTATATACCTTTCTGGCCATGGCGACGTGAGCAGTGAGGGGAGAGGGAAACTCTCTTGTCGGGTGTGTGAAACCCAAGAGAAGCTTCCTCACTCCAACTTAAACCTCTAATTTGATGCTAAACCTCTTGGCAAAGCAACATCGCCAATTATTTAAAAAGGATATTGAGATGGTATAAAATATTCGAGAAGTATTGATCTCTTTATTTATTATAAAACGACAAATTCTTAGTAAATATTCACGAAATCAAATTGTCGGATCGGATGGTTTGGATATGAAATTCACCATCAACAATAAAACGATCAATTAAATGTGCTTTGATCGAATCGTCGTATGAAACTAACTTATGACAGTTACATCATCCGTCACATTGACTATGTTCAATAGAATTGGAGAGGGTTCATCATCATTGTCAAATGGGAGCGTCCTTAGGAAGGAGAGATCAAGTTATAGTACTGAAACTAGTGACTTGGTTTAGTGAGTTAAGCTCATGAAGCTATAGCATCAGCAATGGTGAATTGAATTTTGGTTCCTTCTTCCTCTCTTGATGGCGATATTGTTGTAACCGATTATGTGTTCTCCTGCTTGACAAGTTCTACCTACAATTTTCGAATCATACACATAAAGCGTACAAATTCATTAATGTCAGTAATACCACGTAAGAGATACCATTCATTTCTTATTATCTTATTTAAGAGTTGTTAATTACAGTCACAGGACAAAAACAAGCGATTGGCATCGCTCCTACTTAATCAACAAGAGCAGAAGAGAGATGGGAGGGAATAGTTAGTTGGAGTCAAAGATTCTGATTGATGATTAACGCTAAACGTGTGGTTATGATTATGAACACCACCCTCAACCAAAAGCAAAGACGACGAAGAACAAGAACCATTATTAATACCATCGTGTTTAGTTAGTAATTCTGATCAGAGATCCAATCTAGAGTGACCAACTCAAACCACACAGCAGGAAATTATAAACATGTTAATCGTCATTCTACAAGAAAACAAATTGTTGTTTGTTGGTGACGTGGTTGGTCTTTGCAAGCTGCCCTCCAATTATCACATAATTATCAATCACATGTACGGAGACATGCAATCGTAATAATGTGGGAGACATGAACCACAACATCTAGCTACGTGTGCAACAGACAAACACATGCAGATGGCAGCATGATCCATGCCTAGGGATGACAATTTTGACCTGACCCGAGTTATCCGAACTGTTTGATCTGTTTTGAGGCGGGACGGGGTGGGATTGGGTACCTCTCATCGACCCGACCTGCCCTGACCCGCCTCATTCTCGACCCGTTCTGGCCTAAGTTACATGTAATCTTAGTCAGATTACTTAGGATTTTCCTCTTATTACATCATATTTTATGTATAATAAAGTTGTAAATAAGTGAAAAACTCAATTTCTCCAATAATTTAACTACATTTTATCAAATTATGGTTTCTTTCTTGGTCTTCTAATTAAAATAACGAATAATTCTAATGTTTTTCGCATAAATTATATACCCAATGGGTCGACCTGCTCCGACCCGCGCCCCATAATAAATTACCCAACCTGTACCCGACCTACCACAGGGCGGGAATGAGTATCGAGATACCCGCCCCGGACATGGCTCATTGCCATTCCTATTCCTGCCTGCTGGACCCTTCCTCGGTACATTCGACACGACCTATATAAACACATCATAAGCCGCACCGGAAAAATCATCGTTAAATCGAGGGCCGGATTCAGGAATGCTTATTACTTCATTATTAGTTTAGTACCTCACCCACCTTGTACCTCATAAGAAAGGTTAATCTTGATCTTTAGCAGTTAGAAGAATGAACTCAACCACACATTTCACATCCCAAAACTAGCATCAAAACGATGCATCTAGCAGGAACACGTCCCAATCCAATCCAATATGAGGTAGTTGGCTTGGCTTCATTGTTTGCTTGTATAAGCATTATTAGTGGTTTAGGCCTTAGGGGTTAAGATCTAACCTACTACTCATTAATTAAGCATTCAATATATTATCAAAAGTCATTGACTAATGACTACGACACATCCCACAAAAGATAATCACAAAATATTATGTTTTTAACACAATAGCCTGCGCCCCAATCATGCTTGACTTTGTTGGATCATTCACAGCCACAGGATCGACGCAGACCAAATACATACAGCTGCTGCCTCACATTTGTTCCCTTTCTCTTTCAATCTCTTATCTTTCTGAGCTCAAACACAGTCAGCTGCTTCGCAGTGGCCAAAAATCAGAGTCCTTTCTCAGAAATAGCATCCTCCAACAAACAAAAAGGAAGACAGAACAAGGGCAGGGATGGATGATAAAGATGCCACTAGTGTGCAGTGTTACTATTACAACCGGCTTTTCAATTACTACAATTGGCTTTACAGTTGATTGCTTTCCCACAAACTTGAGACCTAATACATCCAACAAATTGTCTTCATTTTGAATGGAGACAGACAGACAGACAGACAGACAGACAAGATTCAGATTACATATGTACAGAAGATTACAACAAAAACCAGAATGACTTCAAAAACTCCCCCTCTTCTTCTAGCCCTCCCACCAGCCACCATTGTTGACATAAACATTCTTGCCACCTTCAAACCCAATCTTTCTACCCTAACTAACAAGGCAACAGCATCCACTAAGGACTACTGTGTTTTCCCCTCTACTCAAATACGCTCTTCCCTTCCTACAAACCCAACCCTTGGTTTGCTTTCTCTACCACCAAATCTCAAAAAGTTCGAAACTTCGAACTAGTTGCACTTTAGTGGGGGGTCAATGAGTTTTGTGGGCACTTCACACTTGCTTGACGCCTCTTCAAAATCCCATTAACCACCCCCACGTAAGGATACACAACCATCTCCTCCCCCCACAAACAACAAACAAAAACCAATTCTCTTTATGCTTTCCGATATGTACCTTCCTTTACTATCTCTTGAGATGGACCCTTTGCTATCCTTTTCCACTCCTTTGCCTTTGCAAAGATACACTCTCCAGTCTTCATCTGCAGAACAGAAGGAATAACGAGAACAAATGAACATCTTATGGGTGAAGAGCAAGACAACATGACAAGCATAAGGTCTGGTTGCAACTTGCAAGTAAATCTGCCTAAGATTATATTATCCTACACGAGCAAAAAAATGGTTATGGTAATAGCCATTTAACAATTCAGATGACAATAGCCCCGGAAAGCTGAAGGTTTCTCTTCCCCATCCTGTCACCAGCTCACAGGGAGCAGCATTGACTCGGCCCTTACAGGCTTACAGCTTCGAACTTGAAAGCTAATTTTCTCACTTCCAATAAAAAGATGCCGCCACATAAAAGCTTGGATAATGACCTATACGACTAAGTTGGAGGCAAAGGCGAAGTCTTTGTTTCCTGGGAAAACTCTACCCCACAAGGCCACAACCCACTAATGAGGAATCTACCAGAATAATCGAGCATTCAATGGAGTGACTAGCTTATGGTCCCAAAGGAAGAGCTTTCCTTTCCAAAGTACACCCTCCCAGTATCTCCAAATCGATGACTTTTGGGAAGATATAGAGCTAGATCATATGAACTCACACTGCTACCTCAATTAGACACCAAACTGGCAAAGATTCAGTTCTATAAGTCATATGATGAGAAGGCTGCAATAAGAACTTACCAGTGGATACAAACTCTTAAATCTTTCTTCTGTTTTAATCCCGGAAAATGACTTTGTCAGCAATCTTCAACAATGGCGCCAAGCAATCCGGGGCGAATTTCCTAGCAAACAAGTACGAGCTCGAGTACTTTGATTCCCTCAAACCCTGAATCAACTCCGGGGAGATTTCGCTCTTCTTGTAAGTATAAGGATGGCCATTGACCGTCCCCGTCCAATTAACCTTCGTCAGAGTGTACTGAGTACACCCCTTGGGATCCTGCATTGACAACAAGGTCGGAAAGTAATGCTCCTCAGGGTAACACTCATCCTCTCTATAACACGGCATCCTGAATTTCTTCCACAGCCGGCGATCTTTAATCACCATCAGCGCGTGGCGTCGGGTCAACACGAAGAACTGAGATCCAACCCTAAAATCCTCAAAGGGAACCTCCGGCATCATCGCGTACCTCCCGCGAGCAACATACCTCTTCCAGAGCCGAGGCTCGTCGGAGATCACCTCGATGAAGCTCTTGTACTGGAGCCGAATCCCGTACTGAGTGGAAGCATCGGGATCCCCGGAGGAGAAATCGAAGGATCTGGACTTGAGCAGGGAGTGGTAGACGAACTTGAACGAGTGCAGCGGGATGCAATGCTGCGAAATCACGGCGAAGAAGGCGTTGGCGGGGTCGTCGAGGATGGCGGTGGCGAGCAGCCGGCGCGTGGCAGAGATCAGCGTCGGCGACGCGCGGTAGGTCCGCTTGGCGTGTTCGATGAACTTGCCTTCAAAGACTCCGCCGGGGCTGGTGACGTTGACGGTCGGATCGGCGTGGACGTAGATGTTGTAGAGCGATTTGGCCGAGGGAGGGCGGAAGAACTTCTCCCAGAGCGGCGCGAATTGCAGATCGGAGTTGGTCAGGAAGAGGAACGCGATCTTGAGCTTGGGCTTGGAAGCGGCGAGGTGGGAGAAGGAGGAAGGCAGGCGGGTGGTGGGAGTGGCGGACGCGCGGCGGAAGAGCGAGAGGTCTTCGAGCTCGTCGGAGGGGGAGATTGGCACGGAGGAGAGCCGCGGGGGGAGGATTCGCGGGGCGAGGAGGAAGAGGATCGGGAGGGAGAGGAGGAGGGAGAAGGTGAGGACGAATGGAGTTGAGAACATCGATGAGGAAGAGGACGGGACTCTGAAGGAGGAGGAATGGAGGATGCCGGCTGCCGCGGCGGCGGTTGCGGAGGACGGCGAGGAAATCGACGGGAATGCCGCCGACGAGGATTGACTGCCGTTGCTCGGCATCTCTGTGGGATGATTCAGATTGAAGAGAGGAGGAGGCGGTAAGGAATTGGGGAGTTTTAGGGTTTCGGAAATATAGGGATTGGGCAATTTGGTTAGGGTTTTCTGGTGGGAAGAGAGGAACAGAGAAAAGGAGGGAGGGAGGGAGAGATGGAGTAATGGCGGGTTTTGGGGACAGTAGGAAGTTGGGAGGAAGAAGGAAGAATAGAAAAAGGCTGGCATTGGACTCGCGCGTTACTGTTTACCTTCACGGCGTTAAGATAACCGGCGTCGCTCCACGGTTGAACAACGTTGACTGTGTAAGCGGCGTTAAAGTCGGGGACAAGATGGGAACATTACCCGAATTCCCCGGGGAGATTTTTCCTTTTTTAAAAAAATAAATTTATTTTGGTTGCTCGATGGTTTCCATTTTGGTTCCGAATTCGTTGAAACGGCAGCAGAGCATTGTTTTGGTTGAAAGTTGAAACAAATTCACATTACCCGCCACGTCGTTGGTGCAAGATCGGATCTGGCCGGCCCGGCTCGCCGTTACTAAGTAACAAAATTCTGTCACCTCCAGCAACAACTTTTAAACCAAGTGATTGTTGCTGCACCGAACTCAGAACGCGAAAAAATCTTTAGTTTCAATGCTCGTAATAGAGGTGGCTATATGGTCCGGTTAAATTGGCTCGAGAATATAAGAATTAAAGATTGGATTTGATATATTCCAGTCTTGATCCAGTCCGGTCTTGAACCGGTCTGGTCCCAATTCGGTCTTGATTTTAGATTGAGCATGTGGGAATTTGAGTGGCCTAAGGCTTAAAAGGTTGAGGAGGTTAAATTTTGGGTGTTGGACTCTCTTATCCGGTCTTTATCCGGATCTTGGCCCCGGTACCAAACGGTTTTTTACCTCAAATCTAGGCCCAAAGATTGGATTAAATTGTTTATTATCCGGTCCAATTCGGTTTCGGTCCGGATTATACAGGGCGATTTCGGGTAAATCCAAAAAGCCAAAACCAAATAGACGTCACATAAGAGAAGCCGATTCGGCTGAAGATGCCCTTTGGTTTGGTGGTGTTGTTTTCTGGGTTATAGATGAATATACCTCGATTTCATTTCATCCTATGCTCCGCCAAAAGGTTACGATGAATCAATTAAGAGCAATTCCAAATTTTAATCGCATATCCGTAGTCGCTCAAAAAATGATTGGATTTCTTTCTTGGCATCCGGGTGTGCTTTTCGAGTAGTAAATTGCAAGTTTGGTCACTGGAATTACTATAAAATTTTACGTTTGCCACTAAAATTAATTTATTCCATCCGTAGTCACTCAAGTTAGTTACACAGTTCAAGTTTGGTTACTTGCCGTTAGTCTCCGTTAATTTTTGCTGAGGTGGCAGTCAACTCTCATAGTTGACCGTTAAATAGATGATGTGGCAATTAAAAAAATAAATAAAAAATAAAGTTTAATCTATTAAAAATTTCACTACATTATCTTAATATTTAATTGATCTTTCTTTCAAACATTACTGTACTTGCAATGGCATAATTTAGAGACGGAGGAAGAACAGTGGCGATTCTTACTATTCTCAATCGTGGAGCGGAGCATGGAACCCTAATCCCTTTTCTTTTGATACGGTGAAGAATCAGAAGATAAGAGACAAAACCACTACACCGCGTAGCTTTCATTCATTCGTGTCAAGCTATTGCAAAACACGGTGCCGTAAGCTGACGGTTAGTACTTTTTCCTTTACCTATCAAAATTGAAAAACCTCATAAAACCCTTTCTTCCATATTTGGGTGAAAATTTCCGATTCTCAGAAAGCTTCAAAATGGCTGCTGCTTCCTCCTCGAGCTACTGCCTTTCTCGATTTCCGTTGCCGCTTCTCCTGCGGAGGGAATCGGCGATGGCTGCTCTGTGTTTCTTCCCGAAGCTTCCACTAGCGAAGTCAACGAACTACTTCCCGGCGTTGTTTCGCATTTCCCAAAGGCACGCAGTGGACGAACATAGCAATAACATAGCAATACTTCTTTAATTCACGCTTGGATTTACAAAATGCATCAATAACATGTTTCTTTTACCCTTATCTCTTTCCTTTCCCGTCTGCCGTCTCCCATCAATTTAGATTATTATGATACATATCTCCCTCCAAGCCAAGCCATTGCAAGAACAGTAATGTTTGAAAGAAGATCAATTAAAAATTATGATAATGAGGTGGAATTTTTAATATATTAATTTTTTTTATTTTTTTAATTGCCACGTCACCTATTTAACGGTCAACTATGACAGTTGACTGCCACCTCAGCAAAAGTTAACGGAGACTAACGGCAAGTGACCAAACTTGAACTGTGTAACTAATTTGAGCGACTACGGATGAAATAAATTAATCTTAGTGGCAAACGTAAAATTTTATAGTAATTCCAGTGACCAAACTTACAATTTATCCTAAAATATAGAGTTGTTATTATCGCGTAAAGAGAACATAGGGAGGTTGTGCTGTCTGCTGCGTTTGTTGACCCATTTTCAGAGATTGATTGAAACCTTGTCGTTTTGCAGATTTGAATTCCAAGAAGCATGGTCCATGAAACCATATCATATCGGGCGGTTCAACAACATACCAATATTAGAGACAAAACCGATAGGCGGTGTTTAACGGTACTACGATTAAAACACGATTTTATCGTAAAATACCGTACCACTAAATTTTCCGAATACGATTTCATGGACCATGCCAAGAAAGACATTTGGTTGTTGGAGTCGCTCTCTCGCTCACTGGCTCAGTGACAACGCACCTGGCTCCAGCCAGGACAGCTGTGTACTGCCAGACTGCGACTCTGCAACTTCCGCCATCATGGTCCAGACCAGAGATCTATCGCGTTCATTCATCTACCTCATCTCTATTATCTTTACTGCATCGACGCGCTCGGCTGAAGATTCCCTTCCCCAGCCTGCAACACTCACTCAAACCAAAGTTGCCAATAATGGAGTTCCAGGACGGGGTCATAATAAAAACTAAAAAGAAGGAACGCGTTGATCTAACTAAACTAAACTAAACACCTGAAATAATCACATTCGGCACAGAAACAAAAGCATTACATATATAGATAGATAATGATAATTAACAACAAACGATGATGGATAATTACCGAAAAAGAAAACAATGATGGAGGGAGGGAGGGAGGGGAAAGGAGAGGAAATAAATGAGGAATACGAAAAACATGTTATCACCAACCCAAAAGAAGAAAGAAGAAAGAAAATAAAAATCTCAAACCTGCCGAAGAATTTCGTCATCATTTTTTCATTATTATTCTCCATCTCGCCACGCCAATAAAACCTGAAACTCGCCCTGAGTGGGAATGACTCTGACGGCATCTTCTCCAAGACGCCCTATATCAATTACATTATATATTATGTACAGAACTTATGCGTGACACAACTGACTTGAAAGTTGGAACACCACCATCCAAGCTAACTTCAGCCTTCTAAACTTCAACCGCTGATGGTGCAACAGCAACGGTTGCCTTGGTGGTGTTTGAGTCCGCTTTCGCGCTCATCTTCATTGGCTTCCTAGACGTTGCAGGCGATGAGCCTTTCGCCAGCCTGCCTTGCCTGGCTGCCTCGGCATTTCCAGATTCTCCACCTGTATACAAATGTAGCAGCCAGGATGAGGAACGGAGAACTCATAGGGGAGAGGGAGGAAGGGAGGGAGAGGGGGAGCGAACCTTTATTAGGAAGAGACAGCCTCTTCTTCATGGGTTTATCAGGTTGAGCGGCTCTCTCTTTCGGGTTGCTGTGAGATCTCTGGGCGATGTCACCGGGTCGAGAGCTGGCTTCTTCGGTTATTAGCCCGGCAACTTGCTTTGGCTTTGGCTTCGGCTTAGTGAAATGTGAGTTGGATGGAGCCTCGAGTAAGCCTGCTGGTTTGCTTGTAGGTGGAGAGCTGCTGCCATTGGAATGAGAAGGACCAGTTTTCTGAGTTGAAATGTTTGCCTGTGCAGCTGGCTTCTTGCCTGTAGGTTTCTGCTGAGGTTTGGATCCATTTTTCTCATCCTCTTCGTTCTCGTGGATCATCACTCCGTCCTTGAGATTAATGTCGAGAAACCTGTTCTCCCACGGACGGACGGCCATCCATCTCTCCAGCCAGTTCCAACCCCAACTGCTCTTGTCTGGAACAAACCCGGAGGGGATAGCCTGCTGTCTGGAACCCGCCTGCCACTGTGAAAATACAGATTCAGCTCAAGAGATCAGCCAAATGTAGTACCCAGCTTCTAATAGACATGGCAGCTTAAATATATGTTCTGAATGTTTGAATCGGGAACTACAAGTCAGAGTGGTAATAGATTAAGTTTAAAGAGCAATTTGTGTTGAGAAAAGCTCCAACGTGGTACTACAATTTTTAAATCTGGTGGTTGTTACTGAATCAGTTTGAAGAGTTGAAACTTCGAACTGATTCGAACAAATCACCCTTTTCTTCTATCTTGTTCATTCAATGTTGACTAGAAAGTAATTGGGTGTTCGCAACTGTGCTCTCAATATGATACTCTGAGAGGGTTCAGTCTATTAGAGCAATCCGAGAATTATGAGCTACCCTTGCTTCAAGTATTTATGTTCAATCGTGAGCAACATTTCTCTAGGACAAACTAGCTTATAAGTTATACCCTAAAGAATAACCTGAACCTTTCTAAATACGAGTAAAACCAGAAAGAAATAGTAAAAAAATATTGCCGTACTCTGGATAATCATATCCTTATTCAATCTGTCTTTTTGAGATTTCTGGGAGAAAAGACAAATTACCCTGTTGTCTTAACCAGGCAGACCGGAAAACATGTCGACAATGATATGTGTTGAAATGAAATGGGTCAACTTGCAAATCAAAACTAGGCCGCAGACCACTCTTCTTCTACAGAGAGCATCCAATCCTTAACAGATGACTAGGCAGATTCCCCATTTATCTCTCTCTTACAATTCAATTCAAAGGAAAGCATAAAATATATCATTGGAAAATGCAAAATTCAATGATGTCCAGACGAGTATTAGTTTCATGGCATAAATAGAAATCAACATAATACTAATGTTCTCTACCTGGTGAGAAATAGCATATGCAATAGCTCTCTCACGCTTAGCTGCAGCCTCTTGTCTCTTCAGTAGCTTTGCTTGAATTTGTTCAACAGAACCTATACTGTCACACCACCCATCCTGTGTAAAACCAAAATCATATGAAGTACTTACAAGAAAGAGAAATCTAGAGTCATCGGCGTGATGTCTACCAAGAATGAGCAACAATACGTAAGTAGAAGTTATCAGCACTTCATGAACTGATATGAACTACAAAAAACAAATAAAAGATCATATGATGTTGCCATTGATATTCGAAGCTACACATCAAGCCTTCCCAGCATCCTGAGCAATATGATAGTCATTGTCAGCATCTCAACTAACAGTTAGAACAAACAAATTATTGGCATGGGAGAGAGACAGAGAGAGAGACTGGAAGCAGCGAAGTACAACACGACCTCTCTCTATTCATAATCATGTTTCTCCATAACTTATTTATGTCACTGTTTGATGGCACCTTCCAAGTTCTCAGGTTCCCATTGATATTATCCACTTGCGAAGAGAAAGGATGGAAATGAAATAGGATATACAATCAAATACAACATGTAAATTATAACAAGGACAGCTTACTGCATGAGTGCATGAAATAGTAGTTATAACCAAGCAAACTGCAGATAGACAGTCACAAGTTTAATTAAAGACATAGCTTACTTCTATTTCTCGAACTCGTGCCTCATCTGCTATTTGTTGCTGAAGTTTTTGTTGAGATGTTTGATTCTCTAATGCCAAACGAACACGCCTTGCCCTTACACGAGCCTGAACCCTTACCAAAGCTTGCATGCAGCGAAGAGTTATGGCAGCTTGCTTTCTTACAGCATGGCCTCTAACAAGGGCTTGTAGTCTCACTAGCCCTTTTAAAGCACGCAGTGCTCTTCTAGCCTGCATGTATGACAATACCATAAGTAAAAACTCATCCATTTAACGTCAGAGAGAAAAGTAGATCCGAATAGTAGGTACAGGGTCCCTTATCATGAGACCAAGCATGAAGCATCGACTCCATTCACAGTGCTATAGTCTCTAGTCTGCAACTTATGATTGCCACGACCCATTCTTATCACCAATTAAAAACAATCACAAACAAGATGAGCTTCAAAATGAGACTCCCAATGTCTGACCTTAAGTTCCAATATCCAAAGCCTAAAGTGTCATAAACTCGAAATTCATACAACAGTAGTGGCGTGTGGTCAAACTCGAAATTCAACTCCATTCACAGTGCGATAGTCGCATGTCTGCAACTTATGATTGTCACGACCCCTTCTTATCACCGATTAAAAACAATCACTAACAAGATGAGCTTCAAAATGAGACTCCAATGTCTGGCCTTAAGTTCTAATATCCAAAGCCTAAAGTGTCACAAACTCGAAATTCATACAACAGTAGTGACGTGTGGTAAAAATTTAAGAGAGACCATCTTAAAGCTTCACTAAACCTATTCATGGAGTATCCATGTTGATGTTACACTAGTTATTACAAACATCTCCTGCTCGTCACCGCATGCCAATTCTGTTTTTGACAAAATGGTCTTACTGAAGTGCAATGAAAAGGAAATGTTTCATGTAGTCATGTTAACAGTTCCTATGATTACTCAAGTATAACAACATTTATCCTGGGTGACTGAGCAAAACCGTATTAAAGATTCAAATACTCCAGCCAGATAGAGAGAATATATGTCCACAGGACAAAAACACCAGCCTTTGTGCTCTTTCTTCCATAAAATGCTACATACTCCAACTTTGTCAATGTTTTCTTTTTCTTTTTGGATTTCCTCTTGATAATAATTGCATTCTATTGTTGATCAGCCTTCAAAGTTTAAGATCTTAAAGAGCCATTAAGAATGGTAGGTTGAAAATTTACTAACCAGTATGAGCTTAAAATACCATTCAATTGTTGCACAAGACAACTTCGTTGAGATGTTCTTGAACAATGTGATGAAACAAAACTAGCGGAACGAGCAGATTGTTCATAAATTTGTCTTATAAATACGCAAGTAAATACCAGAAATCCTCGGAAAGCTGTTTGAATGCGAGTGGCAGCCCATTCGTCATGTAATCTCTGTTGATTATGGTTCACATCCTGTAGCTGACTTGAGGTAGCAGGAGATCCTGAAGCTTCTGGAACAGAGTCACCAATCACTGCTGCAACATTGTGATTTAGCTCCTGTTGAAATAGGTCCGCACCAATCTCCACTGAATTCTTTCTTCTATGGCGAGACTTGCTAGAAAGTGTTCTCTGATAGAACAAACAATAATAGATGGATTTACAAGCTTGACGAGATACTATTCGAAAAGAAGTCTGCCTTCAGTTTGTGGATCTAAAGTGGAACACGTAGCCTAATCTCCAAAAGATACCCAAAGAAAATGTGCAGATGGAATCTGACCTAATTTCATGGTAAAAGCCAAACAGTTTGTCAAGTAAATTAAATGTAGAAGCAAATTAATTCTTTGGAAATTGCTTGAAAATTTCTACGTTGGGCAAAACTAGTTCTGAAGTGAAAAGATGTGAATACATCCCCACAAAAAGAAACAAATCCAAGCTACAAATCCAAACAATGACAAGCAAGAGAATAAGAACCCTAGTTGTCACTTGCCAGAGTCCATTTAACAATACTCTAGAAACATCTCTTCTGCCGTTCCGGTTTATCCAAACAATGACAAGCAAGAGAATAAGAACACTAGTTGTCACTTGCCAGAGGCCACTTAACAATACTCTAGAAACAACTCTTCTTTCGTTCCGGTTTATTCACTTCCCTGAAACTTGGGTCTGTGTAAATCACTCTAAAGACACATGCAAGCAACAATAAATTCATTGCTCGTAACTTTACTTAAAAATGTCTTATTTTAAGTAAAACTTACATTTTCCACTTTCTCTGAGGACTGTGGCTTATCTGACTTCTTCATTCCAACCAATGCTTTAAGCCATTTTCCAGAGACCCCCATGGTGCCACTGAGCTGAACAGCACTAACCTGCCACAGAAAGGCAATTAACATATCAGAATGCAAGCTGTAACTCAAAGCCTTTTCGGTTCATGATAGGACCAACTATTACGCTGACAAACGTACACAGAAGGATAAGAATTCATAAGAAACCATCTCTACATTCACGATCAGGTGCATATCTAAGTCAACACCCTTACCATACAAATAGAATCATCCAGGTGACCCACTAAGACGTCCATAGAAGAAGGATAAATGAAACACAACAATTCCGGGTCTGATCTAAGAAATTGTTGCAGAATTCTAATCAACATATGGCAAACCAAGCTCCCGGATAATAAAAATTAAATATCAGAAGAATAAGTATGAAGTCTCCATCGGTAATCAAGTAATAACTTACCAAAAATCCACAGTTTCCACAAACTCGAACTTCTTATAAATAAACCAATTAGAAAACCGACTGAAGCAAAGGTTAGATTGGGTAGCTTACCAGTTAAAAAAACAACGTGAGCAAGCAACCTTTTGCCGAGTACGACTGTACTGACTCCGACGCGGCCAAAGCGATGGAGTCGATGATTATCCTAGGAATCGAAGCAGAAATGGCGAAACAAACAAGCAATGATAAGCATTTAATACCGAAGCAGGAGGAAGATGTTAAAAGCCAACGCAAACCCTAGAGAGAGCATAATGATTATACCATAACTAGGTTCCCATGGAGATAGATACCAGCGAGAAAAGTCCAAATTTCAGCAATTAAAAAAATGAACCCAAAAAAAAAAACACTAACTACTAACTAGCAGTCAAACAGGCAATTCACCAAATGTTACCAAATGGGGACGTGAAAACGAAGCAATCAAACAGCCAATGCATCAATTTACCGCTAAAATCCCAGAGCCAATTCACAGATCCACCTCGAACTGGGACCGAGAGACAAACACCGCTCCCGCGCCGAGCGAGTAAAAAGCCAGAAGAAGAATAACGATTGCCTCCGGTGAAACAACTCTAAGACTTCACTCGCTCAACTCGAACTGAAGCTCCGGCAATCGGAAACAGCAGACAAAATCAACAGCGAGCAATCGGAATTCGGAAGTTGAAACGACGGAGCAGTCAGCACAGCAGCCAACCCTCCCTCTCTGTATCTGTATCTCTATCTATCCCTACTTCGCCTGCTCGTCCTCCATCTTTCTCTTTCTCTCCCCTGGAATTTGTTTTCTGTTGTTTTATGTGTAAAAGAGCCGGCAGCACTGGCCGCGAGAAGTTGAGAAAGAGAGGTTACAAAAAGGAGAGACTGTGAAGTGGAGGGACCGGTGTCGGCTAAAGTACGCCGTGGGGAGGAAGGGGAAAAGGATTGTCTCGAAACGACGTCGTGCGGGGCGTTTCACACGGGGCCGTTGTCGCGGCGTGGGAGGGAGATAATCACGGAGGTGGTGGGGTTTTTTTTTTTTAAAGACGTGAAGAGACCTTTTCGGGGCCGTATGATTAACTCTGTCAGTCTGTCCCTTTAACATGTGTAACGGAATCGGAGGGGGCAGTGGCACGTCGCTGTTATGTGCGTACGTTAGCGGGTGTGGCGTCGGTTAAAGACGAAATAAAGTTGGAGGGAAAATAAAACAATTGACCTTTACCTTTTTTTTCTTCTTTTCCTTCCTTTTTTTGGTTTCTTTAGTTTAATTTTCGCTTTCTCTTGTTTTGTTTTTTTGGGAGGAAATGTGATAATGGTGATTAATTCAAAAGTAAAACCAAATAAAGGGAAACGTTAAAAGATGTGGATGATTATTCAGAGCCGAATATGGAAAAACGGTACTTGTTGTGATTGTTAGGTGGAAATTGAGGGTTGTACATGAGCCAATTATTTGGTGGGAGTTGAGAGATCTTGTCACGTAATTAGATCAATGTCAGTTATTGGATTGATTTAATATAATTTGAGCAATCAATTCATTTTTTTATTGAATTAGTAGATTTATAGATATTTTAAATTTACACATATTCTTTAGACTGCAAACCCTGTGCTATGGGGTAAGTCATGAACGATTTGCATTGTTTTCCCAAGTCAAAAATCTGTATCATGTAATGAGTTGTCCTATTGTTTAAAAAAATTTATAATGAGTTGTAAGTGTACGATAAGCAAAACTACCACTACTTCAAGGAATAGGAAACTTCTCCAAAGAAGTTTAAACCAAGCAATCGTGACATAATTCTAGATTTTATTAATAGTATAAGTGTCGTTTTGAGTCCATCTCCTAACAAATTAATCCCATGTATTGCTAATATGATACACAAGGTATCCATCTCATTAGGAAATTAATCCCATATATTGTTAATACGATACACAAGAGTTATATATACCTTGTGCATTCCTCTCCAGATGTATGGTCTCTATACATGTTTTCAAGTTCTCTTGGATGTCTTCCGTTTTGTTATCTTGACAGATTTTGTTAGTTGTTGCCAACTTTATACTTAATATGATGTCTTAGTGTGTCTCAAGTCATCGGAAACTAACTAGATGATATTTGGACGAGAAATGCACTCAGTATTGAAAATTTGGAATTAGTGATATTTAACAATGCAAACACTTTTGGAATCAAAATGTCGAGCTCAACATGACATAATACATGATTGTGTTGGAGGTCGTGCTTGAATCAAAATATTGGTTATGTTCAACTCAAGGTGACTATTCATTGCTTACGAGGCATTAAAATATATTTACTCGTTGTTTTTGTATGTTTATGATGTTATACTTACTGAGAACTTTCCTTCTGAAATTACTTTTGGTAAGGAACCCTTGGATGAGACTTTTATAAGCAAATACATTAGTAATTCAGTTATTTCTATTTGTAAATCCATATGTGTTGTACCGCTGTTAAATGATGTTGGTTTACTTGGTGCAAAACCATAGATCACTTCATGTAATCATGGGGTTCATTTATATACGAATGATGGTGTTCCTTCGTATGATATTGTTGTTCATACTTTATAGAGGATTGGTAGGAAGATTATTATGTTAGTGCCATACAATATCTAATATTGTCTTTGTGGTTCATCAACTAACCAGTTAATGAGTAATATTTTTTACATTCCTTTGTAAGTTGTGAACCCATTCTACTGTGTTTTAATCAGAGGGTGAGGCTTGGTTTATTTTTGCTCTGGTCTTCCTCATTAGTAACTCAATCATTTTACGGATAGTGACTGGGCATACTTTTTTCATATCAACGTCAGTCTACTATCGGCTATTGTGTTCTTAGCCTCTTGTTAGATTCACATATATCCCCTGACAGTCACAATCATATTGTTGATTTGTTTACCAAATCTTTGCTATCTCTAGTTAGTCTTTGCATTTAGATTATTGGAAGCAGAAATCCCGTACTAATTGGTTAAAAGTAGGGGATATGAACACAACCTACTTTCATTTGGTTGCCTCTTCCCGCCATGAAAATAACATAATCTGGGGACTTGAGGATGAAAGAGGAAACTGGTATACTTCAGAAGTAGAAAAATGTGGCATTGCCAAAAAGTTATACCAAGAGCTCTTCTAAAGTCAAAACATGGGTGGAATTAGTCTCTCAAACCTCGTATTTACAAACACCCTTACAGAAGAACAAAACCTTGGGCGAATAGCGTCGATCACCGCAGAGAAAATTAAAAAAGCGGTCTTTAGTCTGGGTAAGACCCAAGCTCCAGGTCCGAATGGATTCACCGTCGGCTTCTTCCAACACTATTGGTCCTTGGTTGGTCAAGATGTTACCCAGGCAGTTCTAACATTCTTTCATTCTGAATATTGTTGAGAAGTTTTAATCGGACTTGGATTTTCATAGTTCCAAAAGTATCGGAGGTTCGTACTATGAAGAATCTCATACCTATTAGTCTTTGCCAGGTTGTTTATAAGATTATCTCCAAGATCCTGGCCAATAGACTTAGTAAAGTTTTACCCTCAGTCATTTCTCCAACTCAAAATGGTTTCATCAAGGATCGCCAGATCACAGATAATATCATGATCAGTCATGAGATCACTCATCATATCAAAACTCTATACTCAGAATCGAAATCTTTGATGGCCTTAAAACATGATATGGAGAAAGCTTATGATTGTATAGAGTGACCTTTTCTATTCGAAATGATGAAGGAATTATGATTAGCCAATTCATGACATGGATCAAAGAATGTGTCACTACTGTTTCCTATTCCATTCTCATTAATGGTCCCCCTTCAGAATATTTTAAACCTTCTAGAGGTTTATGACAAGGGGATCCACTCTCATCTCTGCTGTTTGCTATATGCACGGAAGGATTTTCATATATGATAAATCAGGCAGTCACCATGGTTTCTTGGAAGGTGTTCGGACACGTCAGAACTGTCCTGTGATTTCTCATTTTTTCTTTGTTGACGACTCCTACTTTTTTCTGCAAGCGTCTCAGGCCTCTTGTACGACCCTCTTGTCCTTACTTCAGGTTTATGAAGGACTAAGTGGCCAGAAAGTCAATCTCTCCAAATCGACAGTTCTATTTAGTAAAAATACTAAGAGTGAAGACGCAAACTTCATGGGAGCCCAGTTGGGAGTGGGGCTATAGGAGATAAAGATTCTTATCTAGGCCTACCCTCCTTAATACCAAGAACCAAAAATGATACTTTTCTTTATATTGAGGAAAAGATGTGCAAGAAATTGCAAGGTTGGAAACAACGTACCCTTTCCAAGGCGGCTAAAGACACTCTAATCAGGACTTCAACAACTAATATACCGGTCCATGGTATGACTTGTTTTAAGTTCCCAGTTGATGCTTTTCGATGATTAAATGGGCTTATTGCAAGGTTTTGGTGGGGATCCGCTCATAATTTTGATTATCCAATTCATTGGATATCACGGAAAGGTCTCTCCCAAAGTAAGTTTCACGGAGGCCTTGGTTTCAGGGATTTCAGGGCTTTCAATCAAGCTCTGTTAGCTAAGCTTTGCTGGCGCATATGGTCAAATCCTGACTCACTCCTTAGTCGAGTGTATAACGGAAGGTATTTCAACCAAAGTACGATATTGAAAGCCTCCATTGGCTCTAAACCATCTTGGGGGTGGAGAAGTATCATTTTTGGATGGGATCTCCTCATTCGAGGATTGCGTTGGCAGGTGGGCGATGGAAAGGATATAGATGCTTTCAAAGATAATTGGTTATTAGCTGATAAACCCTGTCCACCTAAACTAAGGTTGCAAGAGGGCAATAACAGTATGAGGGTATCTTTCTTCATTAGAGAATGACTAAGGGAATGTAATGTCATGAGATTAAGATATTGGTTTCAGAAAGATTCAGTTGATTTCATTTGTAAAATGGTTGTTCCTATTCTACCACAGCAAGATAAGCTAATTTGGCACTTCACAAAAAATGGTGCTTATTCTGTAAAAACAGGATACTATCTTGCCTTGGAAAATATCTTGGCTCTTACTCGAAAATTAGTGGAACCTAAACCATCCTATTTGGAAAAAAACTTGGGCACTTGATGTCCCACCAAAACTTAAATTCTTTATATGGCAATGTTTGAAAGTAATTTTGCCAACTATGGTGGCTCTTAGATCCTAGAGAATTAACTGCCCTATTCGCTGCCCAGTATGTTGGGATAGCCAAGAGAGTATCAAACATCTCTTTTTCCATTGTCCTCTTGCTCTTCATCTCTGGACTATGGTGGGATTAAGTAGTTTACTTCTCTCCGCCCCAACTGAAAATTTTGGTATCTGGTGGCGATATGTTATGATTTCAGAAAACTTTCAAATCCACTATCTCCCCTGCATTTTTCTTCTCTGGATAATTTGGAAATCTAGAAATAAAGTGGTCTTCGAATTTACTCAACCACTAGCCAGTTCCCTTGCCCGTCAATTCTTTTTCCAAGTACATGAATATTCCTCAGTCTCCTTCCAGACCCAGATCCCTTCGCCTTGCCTCCAGCCATCCCGTCTTACCGTATGGGTTGGACCTCCTGAATGATTTCTCAAAATCAACTTTGACGCTGTTGTTCGTGACTTAGGATGCTCGTCTGACCTTGTTGTTCGAGGGACGGATGGGCAATTCTTTTTCGCCATGGGGTTCCTTAATTCAGGAGTTTCGAATCCCTATCTTGCAGAGCTGCTAGCTGCCAGGGATGCCATTTCTTTAGTGCACTCCTGCAATCTCCCCCATGTCATTATCGAAGGTGATGATGCAGTGGTCATTCGACAACTTGACGGTAGTTGCTATGAAGACTCGGTGGGCGGGCCATTGCTTCGTGATTGTCTTCACTTGATGAGTTCTTGTTCGGTCCCGAGGACTGTCAACTAGGCTGCCCATAGAGTGCCAAAGCAAGCCCTGCTGCTGTCCCCTGTAGAGATAGCATCCTTTGATTTTGTAGGGTGGCTTCACTAGTTGTTGCTTGGGGGTAGGGGTGGGCATCCAATTCGGTAAACCCGAACCGAACCGAATTGAAATTAAACCGAACCGAACCGAAAATATTGTATTTCGGTTTGGAATTCGGAAGGAAAAACCCACTATTTTGGAACCCAGGTTCTGCACTCCGAACCCGAATTCCGCCCGAAGCGACCGAACCAATCAACCGAATTAAATTAAATAAGCCACAAACTAAACTAGCCCACCCTCTTCCCCAAGCTCAACTAACCTCCCACCCTCTCCCCAAACTCATTCTCTACCAGTCAGTAGCCCACCCTTTATCAACACCAATCCAACCCACCCACTATCAATCCCCATTAGAGGTGGCAATTGGATCGGATTCGTGGATTCATGGATTGGATTGGTGGATCCATGGATCAAATGAATTGGATCCAATGGATTGGTGGATTCATGGATTGGATCAAATGGATTGGTGGATTGATCCATGAATCCAAATGACATCCAAAGCTTGGACCAAAATGTAAAATTTGAAAAGTCTTGGTACTAAAATGTCATAATGAAAAATTTTAGGTACCAAAATGTAAGTTTCCAATGATATTTTTCGTATAAAAATATAAATTTTAGGTATCAAAATGTAAAATATAAAAAATATAGGTACCAAATCATAATTTGCCATTTGAATCCACCAATCCAATTGGATTTGGATTTAAATGGATTGGATTAGGTGGATAATTTGGTGGATGGATTGGATTGGATCCTAATTGCCACCTCCAATCCCCATTCACCAGCCCACACCAATTCTCCTAACCCTAATCTCACCCCTAGTTGCCTCACCACTCTCCCCATACCACAACGGCCAGCAGAGCAGCCAGCTCCCTTCAAATCATGCGTCGTCGCTGATGCCATTCCGTTTTCCCTTCTCTCTGTTCTCTTCTCCTCGCACGCATGCCATTCAACCCAAAAAATCAATCAGAACAAAATCTCAGATTACTAAGTCTAAAAAAAATCCGAATGAAAAAAGTGGGATTCACATCTACTACTACCTTGCACGACCGCGACTACATCGGCGGTGGCTGCTGCTGGCGGCGCTTGTGAGTTGTGACTTTCCCCTTCCGTTGTCAATCACCATCATCCCTGCCCCCTTTGTTCTCGGTTGAGCTCCTCGAGACGAGAAACTCAATTCCAAACATAAAGAACCCACATGCATCCAAATCCAAACAGAAGAAGAACGAAGAACGAAGAAAAAGAACGAAGCAACAACAACAAGAGGAAGACGAAGAAGAAGAAGGCGAGAAGGTGGGACGGATTTGCCGCCTGCTGGGAGACCCTTGTTGTGATTTCTTCACCGTGGTGCTGCTTTCTCTCGATCTCTACCTCTGAGACATATGCAGAGAAAAAGTAAGGAGCAGATGAAAGAGAGAATTTGGGACGGGATAGCAAATGACCAAGGTTGGGTTTTGTGGAAAATGGGAAGTTAGAAAGAATGAGAAGCTTCGGTTTTGTCGGGTACACCGGACCGAACCGATGTATATCTCGGTTCGACCAAACCAAACCAATATATATTTTGGTTTGGAATTATTTGTCCAGCTGGTGTAATAGGTGTATCAGTATGCTCCTGTTCTGTTCAATTTGAACCGAACCGAACCCATGCCCACCCCTACTTGGGGATTTTGGGTAGAGGATTTAACTATTGTATCTTCAGATTACTTGGGAAAAAAAGTTAGGGCTAAATTGCAAGCTTGATCACTTGAATTACTAGTAAATTTCACGTTAGCCACTAGAATTATTTTATTCCATCCGTAGTCACTTAAATTAGGTTAACAGTTCAAGTTTGGTCACTGACCGTTAGTCTCCGTTAACTTTTGCTGATATGGCGGTCAACTCTTATAGTTGACCGTTAAATGAGTGACGTGACAATTAAAAAAATAAAATAAAAAATAAAAAAATTATTTATTTTCCAGCTAATTATTATAAATTAAAAAAATCCTAATTTCTTTAATTATTATTTTTCACCGTCCGCCGCTAACTTCGCCTTCTCCGGCGCAACCAGCTGCTGACTCGGCGGCGATTGATTTGGCTGCCCTGTTTCGCGGTTCGGATGCCTCGACGAATTCTTGAGCTGGGTGGAACAGATTGTCATCCAAATCGAGGAGAACGAGGATGGGTGGGGATCAATTTTCATTGAGTCATTGGGGATCAATTTTCTCCAGGGAATTTCGAGTACGGGTGGATAGAACCCAACACGGACGATTTCCCAGGGATGGCCGGATACAGGGTAGTATCATTCACGAACCCTTGCTCTGCCTCTGGCTCTGGCTGCAGTAGTCGTTGCCTCCTCCTCGGCGATCTGTTCTCGAGGTCGCCGTGGCGGGCCTACCTGCTCCAACACTTGACGCTGCAGAACTGCGACATGGAAACCGTAAAGAACCACCTAATCAGGTTTCTGCATAACGGTTGCTCACTAGAACGCCATGACTTGAACTGAGACTTTAAGAGTAGTACGGTTGCTCGGTAGAACGCCATGACTTGAACGAGTCATCCCTCTGCATTAATTGATCACCTTCCCAACCTCTTGGATGGATAAGCCGGCCGCCATGGCGGCCATCGGCAGATTATATATAGACTCGGTTTCGTCAACAAATACATACCAACCCATCGAAAAACCAGAGCTCCGATGGATTCCGCACAACAATCAGTTTCCAAGCAGAGGTAAGCTAAGTTAGTGTTCACCCCTTCTAATTGAATTTATGGCAATCGTTCACAGCACCGATCAAATTGTAATCAGGTTGGAAGGGAAGGTCGCGTTGATCACCAGCGGAGCAAGTGACATCGGAGCCAGCACCGCCGCTCTGTTCGCCCAAAACGGCGCCAAAGTCGTAATCGCTGACGTCCAGTCCGAAATGGGACATTCCGTCGCCAGAGAAATCAGCTCGTCACTCTCTTCCTCACCAGACGACGTCACCTTCGTCTACTGCGACGTCACCAAGGAAACCCAGGTCGCGAGCGCGGTGGAAGAACCTCAAGGTGCTCGACTTCATAGCCTTCAGAGGAGTCGCCGCCGCCGAGCTGAAGGTGTTCTCCGGCCGCCGCTATGGTGGGACCCACCCGTTCAAGGTTCCGATGGCACCCGACGTCGTTCAAACTACTTTCTACTACGACCCGTATAAACGCAGGTTCTTATGCCATGTCGCGAAACAGACACCATATTTTGAGGCTCCGAAAGACGGCGGGCTGCCGAATCAATCCTCGTCGAGTCAGGAGCCGGCTGCGCCGGAGAAGGCGGAGTTAGCGGCGGACGGTGGAAAATAATAATTAAAGGAATTATGATTTTTTTAATTTGTAATAATTATCTGGAAAATAAAAATTTATTATTTTTTTAATTTATTATTTTTTTAATTACCACGTCACTCATTTAACGGTCAACTATAAGAGTTGACCGCCACATCAGCAAAAGTTAACGAAGACTAACGGTCAGTGACCAAACTTGAATTGTTAACCTAATTTAAGTGATTACGGATAAAATAAAATAATTTTAGTGGCTAACGTGAAAATTATTAGTAATTCAAATGACCAAACTTGTAATTTAGCCAAAAAGTTAGTCTTTGCATTTCTTACTTCCAAGTTCCAAGATGGGCAGTCCGAATAAGAAGCGATGTCCATGGGTTTTGGTGCCATTTATACGGGCTAGTGAGTGGGCCTCTGGCCTCTGCCATTTCGTAGTCTTTATTTTCCCTTCTCCTTCGCGGAAAAAGAAATGAAATTCTCTCCCGACCCGAGCCTACAAGGCTGACACAAAACGAACCAATTCCACGGAACAATCTAGAACCACTCTACGTCATCAACGCCTGAATCCTACGGCCCACATGAAGCCACATAGGAACGGAGCTAGCTTCGGAGTTCGCAAGGAGTTAGATTCTAGAGCCTTCTTAAAACAAAGACCTAAAAGGAAAAAAACCAAACCACAAGAAATCTCCTCCGTCCATCAGGATTACCGCGACCTATAATCTCATCTCTTATAAATACTTCCTTCCCCACATCTGCCTCCCGGCATCGCAGGTTAGAGGAAACAAGCTTTGAACCCAGACTCCAGACCCCAGTCGGCGGAATCCGACGGAGGAATAAATTCCCGATCTTCGTTCGAGGTGTTGCGATTCGCCGGTTGGCGAGTCAGTGAGAGAGAGAGAAGAGAAGATGTTCGGGAGAGCGCCGAAGAAGAGCGATAACACGAGGTACTATGAGGTACTGGGAGTTCCGAAGACGGCCTCGCCGGAGGATCTGAAGAAAGCTTACAGGAAAGCTGCGATCAAGAATCATCCCGACAAGGGTGGCGATCCCGAGAAGGTAAATGACTTTTTTCCCCTCCTTGTTTGTGTCTTTCTCTGAATTAGGTCGAATTTGAGATCTCTTTTTGGATTGGAGATTTAGGGTTAGAATTGGACTGATTGGGTGGATTGTTGATTGCGATCGTGTAGTTCAAGGAGCTCGCCCAGGCGTACGAGGTGTTGAGCGATCCCGAGAAGCGCGAGATTTATGATCAGTACGGCGAGGATGCGCTCAAGGAAGGAATGGGTGGTGGTGGTGGCGGCGGCCATAACCCCTTTGACATCTTTGAGTCTTTCTTTGGAGGTGGTGGTTTTGGAGGTACGATAGCTCGTAATGGGTGTTGGGTGATGAATTTACTATGAAGTTATAGGTGGGTTTTGATGGTAATGATCTGCTCTCTGTGTTTGTGTTCTGTAGGTGGCAGCAGTAGGGGAAGGAGGCAGAGGAAGGGAGAGGATGTTGTTCATCCATTGAAAGTTACCTTGGAGGATCTCTACCTTGGGAGATCCAAGAAGCTTTCCTTGTCCAGGAATGTGATATGCTCCAAGTGCAGTGGGTGAGTTATATGTTCCTGTTTGCATGTTGATTTGCACAGCATTACTTGCCATGGATTTGAGTTCTAAAAGGTATGTCTTTATATGTATGATGCAGCAAGGGGTCAAAGTCTGGAGCTTCAATGAAATGCTCTGGTTGCCAAGGAAGCGGTATGAAGGTATCAATTAGGCAACTAGGTCCAGGAATGATCCAGCAGATGCAGCATGCTTGCAATGAATGCAGAGGAACTGGTGAATCTATTAGTGACAAGGACCGCTGCCCTCAGTGCAAGGGTGAGAAAGTTGTCCCTGAGAAGAAGGTGCTGGAAGTGGTAGTGGAGAAGGGGATGCAGAATAATCAGAAGATCACATTCCCTGGCGAAGCTGATGAAGCCGTATGTCTTAGACTTGCAGTTCCTCCGTTTCTGCATTCAATAGTGTCTCTATGTGCTTTTCCAGACGACTAAACTTAGTGTGTTTGTGTTTGTGTTTGCAGCCTGATACTGTCACTGGTGATATAGTCTTTGTCCTTCAGCAAAAGGAACACCCTAGGTTCAAGCGAAAAGGGGATGACTTGTTTGTGGAACACACACTATCCCTCACCGAAGCCCTGTGTGGATTCCAATTTGTTATTACACACTTGGATGGCAGGCAGCTCCTGATAAAATCACTTCCTGGGGAAGTCGTTAAGCCTGGTGAGTGTCAAGAACATATGTAATATCATGTTCCTCTTTGTGAGACAGTTGTGTTAAGCTTCTTAACATTGAATTTCTGTACATTTTCAGATTCTTTCAAGGCTGTCAACGATGAGGGAATGCCAATGTACCGGAAGCCATTCTTGAAGGGCAAGCTTTACATCCACTTCACCGTTGATTTCCCTGATTCCTTAACTCCAGATCAAGTGAAGTCACTTGAGGCTGTTCTGCCCCCAAAGAATCCGAGTGGCTTGACTGAGATGGAGCTTGATGAGTGTGAAGAAACCACTTTGCATGATGTCAACATCGAAGAAGAGATGAGGAGGAAGCAGCAGGCTCAGAATGAGGCATATGATGAAGATGATGAGATGCCAGGTGGTGCTCAGAGGGTGCAGTGTGCTCAGCAGTAGACCCTGAAGCTTTCGCTGGCTATTTGAATTGAATTTCAGTCTTGATTGTGTCTTCTTTATGGTGTAGTCTTTCTATATAGCGTCTGTGAGGAAGTTTTTGGGACTTGATATGCTGCTAATCAATTGTACCTTCTGTTAAGTTAAATGACATGACGCTATCATTTCTCTTAACGTTTGTTTTCATTCTATGATAATGGCTAGCAAGTAGTAGAAGAAGAGATTTTATTCATATGTCAATTCATATGGGTTTTCAACCTTCTTCTGAAGGTACCTGAATATCTGCTGAATAGAAAATTTAGGTTCGTATCGAGATCTAATGCATACTCTAGCTACAGCCAGAAGCTTTCTCAGCTCACTGGAGTCGTAACGGTCTCCTAGATCGGGATCTATCATCCTGTGAAATGAGCTGCTGGAACTGCACTCTTGAATCCACTGAACCAAATCCGTGCACCCTTTTACTGATGACTGTCCGGTGACCAGCTCCAGGATCAGCAACCCTAGCTGAAAGATTATGTTTTCATGCTGCAACTCGTCAGAACCTTCGGAGTCGGAACTCTGGAGGATTAAAGCCGAGCTATTTGTTGAAGAAGTATGGACGGAGATGTCAGCAACCTGTCAGATCAGCAAAGGGAAACTAAGATCAATTCTAGCATCTATTTAGGAATCTGCAGTTGATGCAGAGAAGGCCTCGTGTTGTAAGTACCTTAACGTTGAAGTTCTGGTCGAGCATGATGTTGCTGGAGCTGATAGATACACTGTACATTGGTGGATCACTGAAATGCAGCAGATACTCCTACGAGACAAAAATACACAATCAAACAAGTACATTTTGAGTGACTCATGTCAGCTTGTCCGTCATGCAATCAGGAAACATGCTTTACCAATGCTGCTGCAACGCCAATGGCTATTTGCAACCTTGTCCTCCAATCCAAGGGAGTCCTGAGAGGATCTAGCATAACCAAGTTAAGAGGAATAACATCAGCAGTGTTAACCACCATGTCAGAAAGTCTGCAACTGCACATTGAAATGCTATGGTAGGTTACCATCAAGATGCTCCTTCAAGCTTCCATTCTCTATATTATCAAACACCAGGTACCTGCAGCAAATGACAGAAGAACAGCCACAAATTTCAGCTGTCGGTAAATGCGCGATTATACAGCAACCAGACTCTGCAGTCTTGTTCCTCACAAGTTCAATCAACCATTTCAGCTGAAAAGCTACATAGCAAAGCAAAAACTAAGCAAATGGCACCTCTTGCGCCCCGCGGAGAAGCCTCTAACAGCAAGAAGATGGCGGTGATGGAGGCGAGCCAGGAGCTGAACTTGTCTGTAAAATTCACCATCGCTACTATTCTCCTCATGATCAAGAAACTTCACTTCTTTCACCAGCACGACCTCCCCATCCTCAAGCTTGGCCTTGTAAGCTGAAACGCCATCTGGGTTGCTGTACATCACCCTCCGAAACTCATCCGTCGCCTTCTTCACTTCCTTGTACGAGAATCGCCTCACAAACAGGGCAATCCGACCTGCATAAATCAAGATTCCCCCCCACTCAAATTCCAGAAACAGACCCAATTCCCACAATTTCTCGCAAACCCAGTTGCAAATCTTGACATGGGTAACGAGCAAAACAGCAAGAGATACGAAATCAAGGGGGAATTCTTGTACCAGAGCCGGATCTGTGGAGCCATGAGAGGAGACGAGGCCTGAGCTTCCGTATCACATCCTTCATTTCGCTGTCGCTTTGCTCAACTGAAAGACACTCTAATTTGGTAAAGAATTACTGAATTCCACCATTGTTAACTGTTTTCCTTTCCCCCCAGAGTAGCAAGGCATCACTACGCCGACAAGTCATCTTTCCGAATCCCGAAGCACCGCATTGATGCTTCTTCCTTTCTTTAACAAGCTGCTAGTGGTGGTGGTGCTCCACCGACTGCTTCCTTCCCCTCCTTCACATTTTGATCTATTAACTAACCAACTAATTAATTACTTAAGCTGGTTAAGTTAAACCCATGTTGGAGTAGAATTATTTATGGGTACTTAATTAATCCTCTGGTTATTTGTAGAAGGAATGATGACTCGTATTGGTTTCCTCCTGTGAGGGAAGGAATTTTACAGTTAGTTATATAACGGTTGATGATGTAACATTGGCAGCTTTTGGAGGCAAGAAAAACAAAAAAATTAGTGGAAGAAAAAAGAGAAGGTAAAAAATACGAGGACGAGTTGAGTCAGTTAAATTAATTATTGTTTGACAGCTCATAGCCCCCCACGCGCCACGTGCTGTGGGGCCTCGCAGAATAAGTGACTGCTTTGCTTCTTATTGAAGTTGTTGAAGTTTGGGGTCATTATGCAAATGGTCACTTAACTTTTGCAATTTACTAAATGATCACTTAACACTGGTATTCGTACAAAATGGCGACTTTACCTTGGCTTTTGTACCAAACTAGCATTGGGCCGGGCCCGTTGGCCGGTTATGTGTAAAACCCATGTGTGTACTCTGTCGTACTATATTGGCAGGTGGAGTATACGGATGCTACTCAAGAAATTTGAATTCCTAATTTGACCACTTCATAGGTGGGCATTGATGATAAAATCCATCTTTATAATGTATTAGTTTGATAGGTAAATTTTGTGAGAATTTTATCTCATAAGAGCAAACAATATGAAGTCTGATGTTACTTATTATGACCGACAAACCTGTTTTGTACCTACTTTGTTGTTGTTGATGCTTGATGTGTATTATTTCTCTTGTTTTTGGTTGGTGCATGTCTCTTGAACCATGCCTTGTCCTATGTACCAAGTATTTATATGGTGCTCTTTACTACCAATATAATCATATTGCAATTACATAAAAAGATTACATTCTACAGCAAACTTTGAAGTGCGTGTTTAAGGGGGTTGCTATTCCATCCTCGCGTGGTGGATGTTTCCTCCAGCTAGATTTTTTATTTTGCAGCAGTATGACTTGTATCATGGAAATCTTTTATTTTCTTTGTTCGCCTTTGCTGGTGGTTTCACAGCTTGTGACCTCCACGACTCCTCGTCAATTTCCTTAGTACGGTTTTTGTCCCCATTAAGCTCGCAAGTTTACCCTTCCAGCAAAAGAATATACCCCCTGTCAAAAAGGGACACACATTAATAACTTGTTGTATCCGTGGAGGAATGAGTTCTTTCTTCCTCTAATTTGCTTGGAATAAAATATCAGGCATTGCTCGGTAGAAATGTAGACCTTCACGCTAAAAAATGGCAAACTTAGCTTCACCTGTATCATCTTGCAAATGCAGTTGCACTCTATACCTACGGTCAACATGGAAGAACTTGGAAATAGAGCACATGACTCTTGCTTTCAAATAATAATTGAAGAATAATTGAAGAATTTAAAGTGTTGTAAGGGAAGAGAGTGGAGGAAGTTCAGGTGTTATGCAGAAGATAATTATTACTTCTCCACTCCTTGAATAGAAATTCGATCACACCTGATAACAACAACCCCATCCCTAAAGAGAATCAAAGTCCAGGATCCCAGGAAGGAAAAGCCAACTTAAAAAGGTAAAATGAAGTATCCATTCCTATGAAGCTGAAAAGGGGTTTCAAATTTGTAGGAACCAAATAAATCTAAGAACTCCATCAACCAATTAGCAGGCAGAAAGGGATCATGATAGCTGAAGCATCTTTCAGTAAGCAATTCTCAGAACATCACTAAGAACAAAAGAAGCAATGTAATCAAAACAGAATCACAAACTGTTTTGGCTGATCACAAACTGCTTTTGATTCATTACGTTTATCATGCTTAGAAGTTACAACTAATTCAATATAAGTAATATGCTATTTCAAGAATTTTATTCTGGCTCATTACAAAAAAAAAAAAAGATTGCATACAATCAATTAGCAGGCACAAACAAAATCATGATAGCTAGAGCATTTCCTTGGAAGAGAGTGAAAGCAGGAAAATGCAAAGATTAACGGCATGCATTCTGAAAAGGCAGACGAAGAAATCACTAACAGCTGCAGCGTGGGCCTTTGATTTACTTTGATGAGGAAATGGCTAAAGACACGGCTTGGGAAATCATCTATTGCATTGCATTAGCAAACTGTCTATTATAGGCCAAGGCCTTACAATCTTATTACTTGCTTTACCATTGAAAACTAAACTTAGAAACTCAATATAGTGCATAATGATTATATATGGGATCAATATATTCTCGGGAAAACAGGGTCATATAGTTCTCAACCTCTCTTCAAGTGCAGCTTTGTTAAATAGTTGAGCAGAGAAATAATACTCTCATAAATCAAAAATAGCTACAGAAGTAACATCAACTGTAATATGAATTATTGTCGAAATTGAGTTGATGCTTAGAATCGCAAGAGGTTCAATTATCTCATAGCCAGCAACCACAAAACAGTGGACCAAAATATATGTTAATGAATTAGAAAAAGTATCATATGAAGTGTTAGGGTCCCAAGTTGTTTGATGCAAAACAACTAATGCCACAGAATCAATTCAATAAACAAATGGTCAACTGGGTTGAATAAGAAGAAGAGAAAAACTTACTATGATTTTTAGTCAGTAACAACTCACTCACCCTGGGCAATGACTCGATGAATTGGTTACTGGAAAAATTCTTTGAGTATATTAACATTTCAGAGTTAGTAAAAAAGAAAACCCAATCACTCTCTATTAAAACCACGATTCATATCTCATAAAGGAAAAACAACAAACTCCCATCCCCTTATAATGCTTTCAATTCCTACAACAGGTTGCAATTTATGTTTTGTTGGGTATCATATATCCATTGGTAGGATTCTTCCACTAAGATAAGATCGATCTTGTGTTGTTGAACTCGGAAATTTTTTGAAAATAATTCACTCACTTAGATTAGGTAGAACCAATTATTCACTGGTAATCAAATTGTGCTATCCCTTTTAGTCGATTCAAATCACTATATACAACACAACCCACACTGTACACAAACTTAGTTAAGGGTAAGAACCAATAAAATATTGTGTTCTTGAAAAAATATGCTCATTTCGATGGCATTACAATGATGATACATGCATAGCTTCTATTGGAACTGGGATTTCAAACTCTAGAAAACCAAATTGGTTACGCGATACAAAAATATTCTGGATTCGGAGGCTAAGAGTCGCAAAACCAGAAAATGCAACCAAAAGAACAAAAATGCAATCATCATTTCAATTACCTCGGATGATGAAGCGAGCAAACTGCATTCATTGATTCTGATATTTTTCTGTGTATAAACAGGTCTAGGAGCATCTTCTCAAGAGGGTAGTGCCAGGAAAAGGCGGCTCCCTTCCTTCCCGGCGTTTCATGTTCCCTCACATGCAGCCTTTCCTTCTGGCTCAGAGGAGGGGAGGAGAGGTGAAATCATAATCAGTTGTTGATCATCGCCGCACATCTCCCTTTGTTCAATTGTTGTAGCAATCGCCATTGTCCGCTATCATTGTTTCTATTATCTCCTTCCAGCAGACTTAATCGAGTTCAGAGTAGGGTAAATCGAACCCTCATAAGCGCCAGTGATTACTTTCATGGATTGATTTCTCTAATTCTTCCATTGATCGAAAACAAAACATCGATGACCCAAAGCAGGAAATACAGAGATTGCGACGCTAGGAGAATGGGTGATCTTCGATTGAGTGGGAGGTCTTTGGTACTGCGTTGGGACAGCAAGTAAGAGAATTTGTTTTCCAGTAGGGCTGCGAGAGAGAGGCGTTTGCTTGCCGGTGGGAGATTGGAAAATAGAATGAGTGAAAGAGAAGGGTTAGGGAAATGACGGGAAAGACCCTCCGCTCTATGCGGCGCTTTCAGTAGAGGCTGACGTGGCGAAGTCTTTATTTTGACATTGCCTTATAGTATTTTGTAGATACCAAATATAAGATCGGTCGAAGTCAAGATTCAAGAACAAAAATGACCATATACTTGAAAACAAAAAAAGGTTTGGTTTCGCCATTATATAAGCAACTTTGTTTCCTCGTCCAGCAATAAAAATTCAATTCATTTGCAATTTATATCTAAAACATTTAACATTGAGAAAGGCGTAAACATTTTCAAATAGTGAATTCATAATAATGTAACTTTCATAATTATTGTAATCAACGCTATATCATATTTGACGGAAACTCATGCAAAAATTGAGTTTTGTATCGTGCATAGGTTTGCCTAGGGGTGATAAAACGGTTGGCGGTTTTCGGCTAACCGTATAACCGAACCAAAAAAAGCGGTTAGTCGGCTAACCGATAACCGCTATTTGTGCTCGGTTGACGGTTTCGGTTGCAGAAAATCTCCATATTCGGAAACCGAGCGGTTATCGGCTATAACCGAAACCGGCCTGGCGGTGCACCGCCTAACCGTGCCGCTGTGAAAATATGAATCGTCTCCTTTGACCTTTCCACCCTAGCAATCCCTTGTACCCATCTCTCTCCCCTGCGTCCACTCCTTTCCTTCCCCTCCACTATTCCACTCTCTCTCCCTGCAAATCAATTGTTCCCCCTTCCTCTCTCCCTCTCAAATGGCAGATCTAGAGCTCCGCTTTCTTCCTTTTTCTTCAAATCAATCCTTCCTCTCATTACCAGATTGATCCCATCACCATATTTTCCTATGATTGGGCAGCAAAAATAGAGCTAGAGGGGAGGACGGGTGCTGGGCAGCATGCAGCTTTCCCCAATTGCCCAATCGGCCTACTCCCTCTTCGTCAGTCGTCGCCCCGTCGTCCTCAACCTCTTTCCTTTGCTGTCGTTTGCCGCCGTCCTCGATCTCCGATCTTCCTCCTTGTGCCTCCGGCGAGAATTCAGATCCAGAGCTTCCTCTCACACTCTCTCCCCTTCCTCCCTCATCTACCTCGATTCGTGGTGGACTCAGCTCCGAATTCACGGCGAACTCAGATCTGATTTTCGGTGACATGCATATCCACGGTGGTGGTCGGAGTTGTTGTGTGTCGGTCTCAGAGCAACCGCCACTTGAAACCGAAACCGACGGTTGCGGTTATCGGCTAACCGATAGTGTCGTCAGTCTCGGTTGCAGTTGGCGTTTGTGGGATCAATTCAGTGGCGGTTAACCAAGAGTGCGGTTCGGTTAAACCGAAACCGCACCGATTATCAGCCCTAGGTTTGCCAGTTGAGCTGCCTATATATAGTAAAGCAAGAAAATTGCTTCTATACCTAGTTTAGAGTTGATCCCGTTTGATTTTGTGGCTTGGTTGGTCAGATTTTTAAATCAGTCGTTGTTTTCTTGTATTGTATAGTCATATCTCAAATATAAAAAAACAAACAAACTAAATTGCATCATCTTTGAACTTAGTTTCGGTTTGTTTGCTTCTATGTATTCTAATTGTTATTATGGGTGGGTGTTGGTCTAGAATTGGATTGATCGAGATAAGATCGGTTAAAATCAAATGAAAATTAAGGACCATAACCTAATCAAAAGTATGTTTGATTCATTTGGTTAGACTTAATCTGATTCAAATTCAATTTTGTTCCTTTTTTTTCTCCATACTTAAGATAATTTGTAGGACCGAATCAAATCAAAACATATTCGTTCTGATTCAATTCGATACAATTCGATCGGGTGTAGATTGGATCATTGCCCACACGAGAGAGATATCAATCCAGTTCAATGATACTGGGCCGATCCTGCTTCAGCTTGCATACATTGGTGGGTCCCTAACGTGTCATTCCATAGTTGGGCCCACGAGAAGCCCATGCAATAAGAAAACAAATAAGCCCCGAGTGGTAGGTTTTGTCCCTCTACAAAGATGGGCCGTTTCTTTTTCTTCGACGGTTCCTCGCCGGATGTTTTTTTTTTTTAAAAGCGTGCAAGCAACCTCAATTACGAAATCGAACGAACGGTAAAACCGCCCATAGAGTCATACAACAACTAGTGACTAATGTAAGGATCCTGAGGATCTACATGGTGGGTTCCTGGACTAAGAGAATGACCTAGATGGTCCAAATGGTCTGCAAGGAAGTTCGCTTCCCTATAAACGTGGATAACTCTGAGTTCCCAATCCTGCTTCCGGAGTTCATGGAAAGAAAGCACAAGGATGGAGTGCTGGTTGTCCGTCGAGGCAGTCTCAGAGAGAAGTTGAACAGCCATAGTGGAATCCAGCTACAGTTCCACTCTTCTGTAGCCGAGGTCCCAAGCAAGTTGAAGGCCTCGTATGGCGGGATTTTTCCAGAAATAACACCTTAAAAAAAATTACAAAAATAGCACCCAGTCGAAAAAATTTACACTAATAGCACCCTTTTTTATTGACCGCACCTTAGAGGTGTGTTTTACATATAAAACGCACCTTTATGGCGCGGTTTAAAATCCTGGACTAAAGCCGCATCTCGGCCAAGAGGTTTTAGGTCTGACCTACAAAAACCGCTTGGCCAAGGAGCGGTTTAGGCCTGGCCTATCTAAACCGCACCATGAAGCTGCGGTTTGCTTCTCCCACACAAAATCGCATCTGCATGGTGCGGTTTTACCCCTCAAACTGCATCCCCAAGGTGCGGTTTTGGTCAATTAATTTCCGACATCCCATGCAGAACAACAGACGTGGGTCTGCATGGCAGACGAAAACCGCACCTCTAAGGTGCGGTTTTCATATGTGATTTTGCCTATAAAAGGCTTCCCGGAGAACCATTTCTCTTCACACCTCTCCTTCTCCCTTTTCAATTTTCTGTTGTAGCTCTATATTTCTTTAGTAGTTTTGCGATTAACGTTAACTCGTAAGTTTATTTTGTATTACTTTTTATTGTTATTTTTTATTTTTGATTTTTATGATATTAACTGAACTACGGTTTTTTCGCAGATGGCATTCCAACCGTTCACGCTTGGCTTACGGTAGAATGGTTACACGGAAGAGACCGGAAAGGGGGTCACCTACGTCGGTGGCAATTTTCAGAAGATAAAGGTCGCTACCAGACCGCTGCTTGAAGACCTCCATCAAATGTGCACTAACGTTACTTGCATGGATGGCACGAGAAGAGTTGATCGTATGGTGTACCGATATCCAAACAGAGAAAGTGGGTCATTGTGGCATGAGGAATATCTCATAACCACTCAGGATGAGGTAGATGCTATGCTTGAATTCTTGAGGTCCAACAAACTTTACAAAGCCGAGATGTTCGTTTACACCGAGGCGGTCGTAGGCGTTGGAGGTCAATCTGGACACGGTCAAACATCTGGTATACATGGTGGAGGTGAATTATATGGCGATCATCCCTACCAAAGTTACCATGATTCACATTCCTATTTTCAGTACCAAGAGCAAGGTGAAGGTCATCATCAATCTTTCCCGTCATATGAAGAAGAAGTTCAATCAGACCTCCCCAACCAACCTCAGTACAACTTCCATTCAGGCAGCGGTAGTTTTCACAACTACCATTATGGAGCTGATGAAGGTGTCTTTCATGAGCTGGATCAGATGGAGGATGTCCTGCCAGCACCAGTCAGTGACCCCTCCGATGAAGAAAGAGAGAACAACGTCAGTGCAGACAGCTCCGACCCTCTTGAAGGTGGTGATGATTCAGGCCCAGAGTCAGACTCAGCTAATGATGATGAGGTGGCTCGTGACCGTGTATCAGTCCCCTACTACAATCACATTCCAGACGACAATTGGATGGTCGACAGCGACATGAAGCCGCCAGAGGTCCCAATATGGGGTCCACTCACTGGGTTTATGAAGGGCCAACAATTTGGCTCGAAGAAGGAGGTGCGGCACGCCATTGAGACGGAAGCAATGACTCGGCATTTTGAATGGCACACAACTCATTCCAACACTAAAAGGCTCATAGTCAGATGCCGTAATCATCACGAGGGGTGCAATGTTAGGATTCGGGCCATCAACAGCAAGAGACACGGCCACTGGGTCATATCCCGTGCGGTGAACACGTACACATGTGTGTCATCCATAACTTCCCAAGGCCATCGACAGTTGAAATCCAGGGTGGTTGCTGCGGCTATCAAGCATCTAATTGAGCAAGAACCGGACCTGAAGGTGAAAGTCATAATCGATGACATTGCAAGTCGTTATGGTTATACAATTAACTATAAGAAGGCGTGGCATAGAAAGTAGAAAGTTCTAGCCGCCGTCTTTGGTGATTGGGAAGAATCGTATGCATTCCTTCCCATGTTAATTTAATCGAATACAAAGCAACACTCGTTAGACTCTTAGAAGCGGTATACATCTTCTTAGAAATGCAGTCTTTTTGACAGAAAAAGGGGGGATCCGAGGATCTCTTAATACCCGATTTTCCCATGTAATGGGAGGATATGATAATCGCTTAAAACCCCATTTCCTTAGACGTGCATCTCTTTATAAAGAGTCGAAGTAAGTGGCGCTATGTATTCGATTAAATTATTGAAAACAACCAACACGATTAAAAAATCAACATAAATTTATTTTATATTACACT